CTTTGGCTCAGAGCGGTTATTTATGTGGACGCGGTTGGCTCTGCCTTTTTAATAACTGCTAGTTTGACAGATAGCATGACATAATATGCTAAAATGTCAAACTTGTGTACCCTTCTGTTAATTTGTGCACATAATTTCTTCTCCAGTCTAGCCCATCCAAAGATCTGAAACTCTCCCTGTCAGTTCGCGTTAAAAGAAAAGCAATAATTCAAATGAAATTCTGACTGTGATATTTTGAGTGCATGATCCTTTTGCAAAAAAAAAACAATCTCGCCACTAGCTGCTCTACCACGTGAGTCAAGGCCTGCAAAAATGATGTGATTTCAGTGATTTGTAGTCTGGTATTGTGCAGGTCTGTGCTGCTGCCGCTGCTACCGCTGCCGCTGCTGCAGTGTATGTGCTGTCCTTTTGTCCTTGTGCCAGATGTCAGGATGTGGCGCACGACTCATTTGGATGCCAACATGCCTCTGCGCCAGTACGAGGACTTTTCACTCGCTGACTTTAAAGCCTGCGGACCCTGTTATGAGAAGCCGCGGGGCTCCTGAGGTAGCTGTGTCTGCAGTTGTGTGGCATTAACGGTAATACAGCCGAGTAAGTAATGATGCACAAGCGGCGACAGCTATTGCCTCAGTGAGTCATCAATCAGTGAGGGAATCCTGCTCCCTCCATTTGACTGGGAACAACCTTCATTAGCAGCTGCAAGAGTTTATGTGTGCGTGTGCGTGTCTGTGTCTGTGTGTGTTTTAGTGGGTCTACCGTATGTGTGCTCGCTTGTGTGCGTTTTAACTACACCACTGTGTCTGCATGCGTAGGCGTCTCTCTTCTCTTTCTCTCTTTGCGTGGGCGTCTATTTTGTCTCTGTGTTTGTGCGTCTAAAAGCTTGTGTGCCAGTCAGTTGTTGTTGTTTTTGAGTTTGTGTGTATGTGTGTGTCTTTGTTGCTGATGTTTATGCCGGACACTGGCACGAGAAGAGAGGGGGCACGGTATTAATCATAACACTCCCGAATGGATAAGAAAGTGAGATGTAGAAAAGAAGGAGGAGGAGGAGGAGGAGGAGAAAGAGGGGAGCAGCTGGTCCTTGTAACTGCTGCCCCCACACTTGCTGCTGCAGGAGTTATCAGTATACAGCCTTCAGTTCCCCCTGTATAGCTATAGGTCTGTGTAGTGTGTGAGTCTCTGTGTGTGCAGCAGCGTTGCACAGTACAGTGCTGTAAGTATTTCCAAAGGGGCTGAGGGCATATTTCAGGTCACAAACTGGCTGCAAATTTAATTTGTAGAGAAAAAACTTGATTATGTTCTCTCAGGCAAAAACAGCTCAGGGAAATATAACTGATACGACACAGGTGAACACACACACACAATCACACACACAGACAGGAGAAGTAATGAAACACATAATTCATCATGCATGCATATGAGCTGGACAGTTGTGTCCGAAGGCACTTTTTGCATTCGCTGTTTGAGTCTAAACCAACTTTAATGTCACAAACTGCCATTTACAAACCCAGAATGATCCGTGCCGAAAATAATTGGTACAATTTCTCCATAAATACAAGCGAGCATGTACGGACATGCCAGGGTAAATAGCAAACAGACCGTCTACCTTGGGGTTGGTTGAGAAGAGGACAGCAGATCACATGCACAGAAAAAAAACAAACAAACAAAGAGCTGAGATTCTTGGTTTTTGGATAGCCAACAAGAATTCGACTCATTACTTGAAGTGCAACAACAAACCAGCAGAGAGCATGTCGATAACCAATTAGCCCAATAAAGAATTGAACCTTAGAGCTCGGTTCAGAGCTGCAGTAAACAAATATTTTAGAAGCCAAGTGTTTTATTCCTGCAATTAATTGAGTATTTAGAAGAAGAAAAAAACGTCAGGCTCCTTATGCTTTTTGCCATGACTGTTGTAACAATGAAAATTTCCTTTTTATGTATCAACAGAAATGCTCTTACTCTGCTTTATTAGTAGACCTAAATAAATATATAAACTCTTACTCACTTGACTGGCTGATGCATTTATTCATAATTAACGACACTGAAAATAAACACAGGAATAAACCGCTACATGGACTTAAAGGCATGGTTGATGATTGGAGAGATTGGTAATAATTATGAACCTCGTTACTATGGCGATCATGGTCCTATAGTGCGATCTCCACTAATTGAAGAGAAAAAAGAACAGAACTAATCCGTTCACCCTCACAGGTGCAGGGCTACAAAAACATTGACCAATGGGAGCCATCCGTCCCAAACAGCTTCTATTGGTTAACCTCCTGCTCCGTCTCTCCATCCAATCACCTCGCTGTATTCACTCTCCGGGCCCTCCTCGGAGCTCTGAGCGGCTAAAAGTAACGTAGCAGCTTCACTACAGGAGCTGTGATGGAGAAGGACGCAAAAAAAATGAAACACTTCTGCTTGGAAATATGACCAAGCGAGGAATCTTACTGGAATAAACATAGGGTCATCCTTTGAGCGGTGGAGAAAGCTCCGCCAGAATTTGGGCCTGAAAACAGACACCGAGACAGCAGATTTTTTGTTGAACAGGTAATTTTATCGCCTTTTATCGTCTCTGCAATGTCAACACAGTAGCTCCAGATGGTCCTCGCTAGCAGAGCTGGCGTTTATTACCGCTAGTCACTAACAATCCAACATGGTGGATCCTATTTGAAGCTAGTGTAGGATCTTCTGCCGGCCGGCTTCATGCTCTGTCAGAGGGGGTGTGTCATGGGGAGGGTGATACAGATTTGGGGGGTGGGACACTTTTTTCAAATCTGCCTCAACGTCTCAGTTTTTTTCAACTGCTTCTCAGATCATCAACCATGCCTTTAATGATTAAGCGTTCACTTTTGTAACACTTCAGTGATTGTGACAAGAAGGTAGATGCTGATAATCTTTGTGTGCATGGATACCCTGACCACCACTATGTCGGTGCCCCAGTCGTGCCAACCCAGTCGAAAAGTTTAGGCTCGCCTCTGCAAAGGTTGAGAGAAAAAAAGAGGAAACTGCGACTCCTGTCTTCCTAAAAATGTGAGTCCTGAGGAGGAGAGTTAATAGTCAGCAGGAGCGTGACACGTGAGTGAATCGACAGCGCTGACATGCACAACACCGGCTGGCATTTGTCTCCCACAAGCTGATCAGGATGAAGTTTAAAGGCAATTTACGCCACACTGAGAGGACTCTGCTGTTAGTGCTGACAATAGAAACAAACATGGACATAGCTACGACAACTACTGTCTTTTCTTTGTGACTCAGAGTTTATTCATGGAATAATGTGCATTTTAAAAACAAATACAACAGACAGCCAAATGTTTCGACAGCTCCAGAGCCCTACATGACTGGGAAGTCTGGTTTAATGATTTAATTCACAAAGAAGGGTTCCCAATTCAAGTTTTGCTTCAAGTTCGGGAGATGCAATGTCACTTCTTGGGCACTTCTGCTTGAAGCACTCACCCATGAAAGAGCCTGCTCCCTCTATCAGTCCTTTCCCTGTCACACCAGAGGTGGGAAAATGTTTTTTGTTTCGTGTTTTTAGGTTTTTTGGTGCCAGACGTGCCCTCTGACCTTCCATTGTCTGAAGTTTGGCTGTTTCAGCACAGCAGTGACCAACACAACAAAACACAAGAACTACAGGAAATACGGACACAGCAAGTCATCTCTCCTATCTGGTCAAGACCAAGGTCACTTTGGCAAATTCCTTCAACTCTGCAGCTGAACACAATATCAACTAAAACCAACAAATTGAACCTCAAAATCTTCCACTATTTCAGTCCTACTCTTTCTGCATGTTTGACATTAGTTCTAAGGTCTTGTGGCCCTGGTGGGAGCTGCAAAAACAAGTATTTCCACTTGAAATAGCATCAGTTGAAGCTTAAGGTCAAAAGTCGGATGATGAAAAGAAAAAATAGGGATATGGAAGCAAAAAGACTCCTCCTCCATGCTTCAGGCCAGGAGCTAAAGACTACATAAGCAGCCATCAAGATAACACTACTCAGACCTGTCAACCATTAAGGTGCATTATGGTTACTGTAGGCACCAGGTACCAAGATTGGGAGCATTACAACTGGAATTTAACATCTCTTTTAGTATTAAATGATACTAAGGGACTAAATACACGCACAGGAGAATTTAAAACTGTGTATCTACAAACAAAACAGCACTCAGCAAGTCCTCCTGGACCCAAGCCTTTTCTCCAACAACCCCATTGCATGATAAATGAGGGAGCAGACGTTTGGGTGCACCCCATCACAATTTACTACCTTTCGAACTGGGCAACTTTGTGTTTGGGCTGCCTTTGTAAACACGATTTTAATGCCAGAGTTTGACAGAGCGAATCCTCACATGTCCAATAACAACCATGCGCCCCAGCAAAGTGCCACCGAGTAAATCCCACCTGCTCACTTAACCTAAGCTGTCCTGGAAACCGGCATGACACAACTGCCTGAGGTGTAAAAAGAGACTTACAGTGCAGGGAGCGTAATGGAGAAGTTTCGACCCTCGTCCAAACAGAAAGGATGACTGAGCACACACATTTTCTGCCCTTCTTTGCTTACAGCACTCATTCATTTACATGCGAGAACAAACTTATGCAACTGCCTTGCTTGCTCAAGGGCACATGACTGATTCTTATTTACTTTTCCAGACTTGCGCTTCCTACAAGGCTTTTCGATTTCAACCAGCGACCCCACTGGTGACAAACACACCTCTTGAACCCTGTCAGGTCCTACAACATCTCACTGATATTCCTCCGATAAAATTTTGATGAGGATGGGCTTCATTAATCCGCAAGGAGAATAGGTGGCAAATCGATTCACACAAGAATCGCGATTCTGATTCAATACGATTCAGAATCTTTTAAAATGTCCCAAAATCCATTTTAAAAGATTAAATATCCGTGCCTCCGTTTTGGAACTACGCTGGACGTCCTGATGTCATCACGCAGCCGGTTCTGGAACGCACGCATGCGCAGGAGGCACAAAAACAAAGAGGGAAATGCAACGATGGAGGAGAAGGAGATCCAGCCGGCCCCGTCTTCACTAAAAGCTCAAGTTTGGCATCAATTCGGGATTTTACCGAAGCCCGGACACACTGAACCGGACATGACGCACACAGTGTGCCGACATTGTAAAACTAGAATCAAGCATTTCGGCAACACGACAAATGCGCAGGCTCACATTACGAGGCATCACCCAGAGATGAGAGACACGGAGCGGACTCAGCCGCCAGCTGCAGACCAACGCACGCTGCAGAGCTTCTCGAAGCTCTCCGCCAGCTCCAAGCGGGCAAAAACAATAACAGGGTCTATCGCCAATTGTTTGTAAAAATTCCATCTAAGCGTAGATAAATGTTTAAATCTTAATAAATGTGAAAAAGACACTTTAATGTCTTCATTTGTCATTCTCTTTTGCACAGCAGATGGGAGTACATCATGATCAGAAATCAGGTCAGAAATCATTATGAATAAAATCATTTTTAATCGAAAATCTATTTTAAATTGAATCGTCGCTCCAAGAATCGAATTGAATCCTGAGACAGTAAAAGATTCCCACCCCTACAAATTACTGATAAAAAATAGGTCATGAATCTCTCCTTATCGCAAATATCTGTACATCTTCCAGTAGTTGTTCAAGTTGGATAACTGCTCAGCGGCTACAGACTGATACACGGTCTGCACATGTGCAGATTTGATCAATATTCTTGCACTCGTCTTTTTTAATTCTGCACGGATACTTGTTTACATGAAATACTGCCACTAGTATGTGAATGTGCTCAACCACTCTCAAACAGCAATGCTAATAAGGACTGAATCATCCAAATGACTAAGGGTTTCTGAGCCAAAGATCTTGACTATCATCCCTGTGAGTACACTCACACTCACAGGGAGAATGATGTTGTCCAGAGAGAAACACACACACACACAAAAACATTCACACTGCCCTCTGCTGGAGGCAACAGAGGCTCTAAACAGGTACACACATCAAAACACGAAAATATCAATCAAAATACTATATATATTTCAATTCTGCATTTTACTACATGTTAAAAACGGATAAGAATGAAAAGGAAATGTTTGTTTACCTCTAATTTTAGTGAGAATAGAGAAAAACCTGACGAACTGCAGACTTGTGAGGCGTGTTTGATGTCGGATCTGTGAGATACAGAAATGTGCAGAGCCAGTGTGGACGTGAAGTCGCCCTGAAGAGAGGTTCTGCCCTTTGACCCCCAGTTTCCCCAACTTTTTCCTCTTCTGTGCCACACACACACACACACACACACACACACACACACACACACACACACACACACACACACACACACGAAGAAACACACATACGCAGGGACACCCTCCCCAGGAAATGTTTGTTGCCTCTACATTTCCAAAAGCTCTCGTGGGGCCGCAGTGCTGACACAGGCACTTTTAAACTTTGTTCTCTTTTCAAGTGAGTGAGTGAAACGGTCACATCAGCAACCCCCATCATCCTGCCTCTTCTGGCTCCACTGTAAACCCTACACTCACACACAAAACTCATTTAAGAGCTACGTGTACGTGTCTAAACGTACAGCCAAGATGTAAAATAAAAACACTGTGAAGTTTGTTTAATAATGCACTTATTGATTCATTTACTACTGTATTAATTTTCAACCAAATTCAATACCAGACGGTGGAAATTAATAGATAGTAGAGGGGGTCTTCTTTCACCCTGTCCTCTAATAATGTCACATTCATTATAGATTAATAGTCCTTTTAAATCCAATAATACTGCATGTGCTACTCCCTTTATCTGATGTGTGGTTAAAGAATTAATTTTCTAATCATTCACATCTCTTTAGAAGAAAATTACAATTTCCTGATTATCATCATTCAGGATCCAGTCTGCAGAAGTTCCCTATTTCATCATCCAAGAATACAGTCTCCTACTTTGTGCTATTAATACTCTTCCCAGAGTGCATGTCACCGTCGTCAAAATAGATTACGCCGCTTTGATTTGAAAAGAAGCACTACACTTTGCTTGCAGAGAAGTGCCACGATTAAAAAAAGAAAGAAAAAAAACGTGTCGCCGTGCAGCAGGCTTTAAAATTCTGTTCACCTACACGGCACATTAAAACGCTGCAATAAACCCGAAAGGGCACCTTGTTGTATTGTGCTGCAAGCAGGAAGACAGCAAACATGCAGTTAGTGGACAAACACTGGGTGGGATTTCCTCTCCTCCTGACTGGCTCCAGCCTTTGTATTGTCCATTTTCAGATGCTGGCCGAGTGCCGCCCGCCAAGGAGAACAACAAAGTGGGTCAGACATGGAACCCCCGAAAAAAACACAGGTTGACAATTTCAAAAAAATGTAAGGCTCTTTGTCGTACCTATGGCAGGGGTGTTCCTGTGCTGTAACTCTATGAAAGCCTGATATAATGCATACATGTATTTTTGAATGGTTGAGATGGTTGAATACAGACCTTCAGCTTTTACTACATTTGCATTCATCCGCTACATCAAGGCTACTGTTGCATTTACTAAACTGTGTGTGTGTACGGAGAAGAGTCAACTTGATGTCCATTCACTCCAAGTGCGATCTCTGACATTTAATCTGCCAGCGAAATTCAGCCCCTCTGTGATATTATAGTCCAACAATGTGACTCGAGTCAAGTGTAAGTCAGTCAAACAAAACTGAACATTTACAGCAGCGTATTCTAGAGAGATCTGATGACAGTGTGCAAACTTAGCTAACACTTACAGGCTATTACAGGCTCTTTATTGGTCCTTTTATTTTGGAGCTACAAATCTAGGGATCGTTTTCTCATAATAAACATGATGTAGCAGAATGTACATCCGTGTATTTTCGACTGTACTTGATGGAAGCTCCCATTTTAAAAATATCAAAAGTAGTTACTTAAATGTCTTAAACTCCCACACTTTAAATCTAGGTATAACAAACACAAATCAAAAGTTCCTCATAGGAGCTTTAAGGGCCGCGGGTAGGGCTGCACGATATATCGTTTGAGCATCGTCATCGCAATGTACGTGTGCGCAATAGTCACATCGCAGAGCCTGTAGGAGACAAATGAACTCATCTAATTTCAAGTGTAGCTGACTGAGATACACTCCAAGTGACTCTGCACGTGCTGTGCAGCGATCCACCAATCACATTCGTTCTCCACTCAGTTGCCAATCAGACTACCCTGCCAGCCGTCAATCAAAATCAGAGAGGAGGAAACCACGCCCCTGCACATGGCGTGAGTCGCTGGCGCTGCCAGTGTTGTGCCGAGAAATGCATGCCCACCGAGAATTAGGTTTAGAACATTACTTAACACTGTTTGGCCCAAAAATAAGAATTGTTTGGGTTTTAAATTGTACATTTACACAGACCACTCTACTATAAGCGGTGCGCGTTTTGCGAGGTGCATGCATTTCTCGCCACAACACGATAACAACAATGATTGCAAAATGGGCAACGAACAAGAGAAAGAGAAGGATAGTCAGTTATCTGGAATTATTTCGGTTACCAGAATGATGATGTCGACCAAAACACGTGTTCTGTGTTCATCTGTTGCCACAATAACGTCCCAGCACAATAAAAGGAAGCTAAAAATATCTCTGAGACAAACAGAAGCCATAGATTGAAAGTAAATCACAAGAAAGTCCAAGTCCCTCTGGAGCTAAAACCATCAGGGTGAAACTTTTGTGTAACTTATTGTCTACTTGGAGTAAGACCCCTTTAAAACAGATGAACGGACTCTTTTGCAGGGGATGCAACAAACCAATAAATTACAGCATCTGAGTCTGCAGCTTATGCACTGGCTGCACAGTGCAAGAAGTCACTGTTGAGGGTAAGTTAACGGCTGTCTTAGTTTTTTGAAAGCTGCTAATTTCTATTTCTAGGTGCTTTGTTCGGACAAACAAGCCTCTGGTTTTGCTATCTTTCTACACTTCGATTTTAATCAATTTTATATTGAGGCTGCATGAGTTTAACCCTGACTCAAAGAGCTGTATCTGTTTAACTCAGCAAATAAAGAGCAGCTGAGGGAGCTAGAAGCTAAGTGAGTCTCTGCTGATTGATTAATGTCTCCACCAGCAGCTACTTCAATCTACTGCAGTCCTGCCAGACAGCGGTTAATGAATGACACTTAACAAACAATTAACACAGAGAGCCAAATTCCGCTGTGTCTATGAACACACCTCTGACACTGTTATTTACCACTCCAGCTCGAGGATGAAAAAGGAAAAAGAACTCAATATAAAATGACCTGACTTCACTGAAATATCAAGTTTGGATTTTTTGATGACTCAATACATATAATTAATTATCCGACTACCAGTTACGCCAGTTGCCAGTATCCTGTCACTGGTACTTCTAACATATGAGTAACATTAAGAGTTACTGAAAAGAGGAAATAAGCCGTGCCTCTGCCAGTATCTAAGTACATTAATTTTCATGTTTTGGAAATGGTTACAAAGGAGAAACGCTCAACCTGGAGGGAGATAATTGAGCTGATAGATGATTGTTCTGTTTTGAGTATCCTGGGTTGAAAAATTGTTGTATGGGTATAAAGGGACCTACTCAGCGAGGCAAATAGGGGAGCTTCAGGGATACACCACGAACAAATGTCTCATCATTACGGCTCATAAGTTTCTAGAGGGGAAAGTAAAAACTGGAACGCAAAAGCAACAGTTTCCATGATTAATAAACTATGTCATGAGTCGTAACAACTCAAAAAACAACCCTAGTTTTAATGCTTTATCTTCTAGCAACAGCATGGCAGTCCCAACCAATTCATTATAATCTAAATAACTTCATTAATGGGCTCTCTCAGTTAGGATTGTTTTATTAACGAACAATAATTGTCCGACAGAAAAAGCTTTGACTGAGAAAACCATGTGTTGCTATGTTTACATGAACAGAGTTTGCAAAATGGGCATTAAAATAGTCATAAAAGGTGTAATTCAGAGAATACAACTGCCATTCAATAGTTTCAATTAAGTCAGTGTTTCTCGACTATTTCTTCAGAGTTTGTCTTCTGTGGTCTAAATGCAATTACTGAATGTAAATACACCTGGGGGAAACACTGCTATTTTCAAAGTTAAGTTCTAAACATAAAGGGCTCTATTTTCGTGCCTCGCCGGCGGCATGGGGCAGGCGCGGCGTAAGTCAGCTCAGCTCCTCCCAGCGGCGTACGTCGTTGAGAGGGAGGAGAGAGGGCGTGGAATGGGTTTTACACAGCCGAGACCTGTATTGACAAATCACATCAGCGCCTCTCCTCACTTTTAAATCCGTTGCAGTCGAGGCGTATTACAATTTTCGTGCAGTAGAGCTTTCTACTAACTTTCCAGCGAGTACGAAAATGTCACTGCGCCAGCTGATTCTGTCGACCTTCTGTCCCCCTACCGGGCCACCACGCCCAGCTTGGCGGACCTTAGTGTGCCTCAGTCTACGAAAATACCAAACTGGCTGTGCATTGGGCTCCGCCAAACGAAAATACCACTGCACGGGGTCCGCCACCCTCCACCGTGCCGCTGGCGGGCACCAAAATAGACCCCAAAAAGTCAAAGTTATGCTCTGTTCTAAGATTCTGTCGTCTGTAAGGAAACCAGCCTACAGTGAATATGCTCATATGCACTGACCTCCAAACTGCTTTTTTTTTTAAGTGTACTGTGCAGTACTCACAGGGTCATGAGTGTACTCTCCAGAGTGGGTCAATGTGTAGTACACAGTGTTTACAGCGTCACAGATAGAGGCTCAACTCCCACTGGAACAAAACAACATGTATGCACTCTCAAGTCCACCAGGAGCTCAGGATGAAAGTGCCCACCAAACAGCACATAGAAAAACAGAGATAATCCTGGTGAGGAGAATAACACCATACACACAGGATAATGTGGTAAAGAATAATTGCCTGTTTTAGGGGAATATTCAAAGCCATGGGAGTGCAGATATTTTTTTAATAAGGCAATGAACTTTGGACGGGTTCAGGGCCATGATGCTGCTATTCTACAAGCAATTAAAAATACACAAAGAGGCAAGGATGGTTCAAAAGGCTAAGAGAGTCTTTTAATGAAGTGTCCCAATTAGAAGCACCTTGATTTATTTTTAAGCTCACTTAAGGGAAAACATTTCTGTCATACAAGATTTATCAAAACAACTTTTCATCTCGTTTCTGTCGTGCTTTTGCTGTTAATTGTTCAATTTCTACCCTGACTACATCGACCCTTTGTTTTCATTTCCATCAAATCAATAATCTTAAAGTAATTGATTCCCAAGTTGTTGTGCCGACGAGATATACAAACACTCACAGGAATTAGGAAAGTAGCGACAGCAAAATCTAGCTGCAGAGATTTGACGATTATGTAAGCGTGACATTTTCGAGCATGATTAATAGTGAAATTGGTTAATCACTGCATTAACATACATCAACATGCTGAGTGAAATATCATAACCTGTTTATCTGTCAGCATAAAATGTGCTGCGTCTGTCTTGGGAATAATGCAATAAAGATGAAATTGCAATTCATTGTGCAGCTTTGCTTTTAAACATTGTCTCATTGATTAACTAATAACACAATGTTTCAGGAACTGTAAGAGCAACTTGACTGATTATTTGGTTTTAAAAATTGCTGATCACTGAATCATTATTTAGTCAAAAGTTACCTTGTTAAGCCTGATATGGAAGTGTTGGGTAAAAAAAAATGCACATAACATTGATGTTTTGTGTTTGAAATATTTATAGATATACATATATAGATAAGTGTCCTACTTCCCTGCACCTCTTTGATGTGATTCTTGTGAAGCTGTTGCACTTGGATGTCAGCCCAGAATTCAGAGGAGTCAGATCCTGTATTTTACTCTGCTATTCTGAATTGCTGATGAAAAAAAATGACTCCATTATGGCAATGACCAACATACTGGTTCAAAGATGATGATCTAGAGGGTGTTCATATTTTACTGTTTCAAATGATTAAAGAAAGGCCTCACAACATGTGTGCAAATGATGCTGCAGGCCAAAGCAAACATCGGAAAGCGTGGCATTTTCAAGATTCCACATTTCACTGTTTGTTTGGTCTAAAACTGCTTGTTTACATGTGTTCTGGCACCAGTGACACTGTTTACTCTGCTCTGTGTGTGTTATACATATTCCCCATATATAATGAGTTCTGCTGTGTAACTCGCATATATTCCATGATAGGGTTTTGAAAATCTTAAGATGACAATACAACAATATATTTAAACCAACCTAATTCTATAGCGTAGAGTTCTAAAATGGATATTTGGCTTATTCTGTTTAACAATAAGAACTATTGTTTGGCTTTTATTCTGTTTTATGAACATCAAACTCTTAAGTTTGTAATTTGCAGCTTTCTTCAAGCACTTCATCCAACACCAAATTACTGTTATTAGGGGTGGGAGAAAAAACTGATTCACAAAAGTATCACGATTTTTTGTATTACAAATTTTAAGTGGATTTTTATGTTCACAAATCTTTTTTTTTTTTCAAATTTAAGAATAAACCTTAAAAACTTGTGATGTGTATTTTTTGGGGAAATATGGTCAGTAGACAATCATAATCATTCAACTGTTTCAGTGGTGTAAAATGCAGACTAAATATCAAGAAAATCAACAATATCGTCAAATCGCAATTTAAATCAAATTGGCATCCAAGAAATCCTAGAAGAATTGAATCGGGAGAAAAGCATACCATCCCAGCCCGAACTGTTATGTTTGAAAATCTTCACCAAAAACATTTATGGTGTCATCATTCAGGTTGAAGTCTTCTTTTTCAGACATGTACACCTAATTTTCCTTTAAATACCATGCACTTTGTTTTCGGATACAATACAGAAGCCTCTCTCTCTTTATCCGTCTTTACTTCCCCCTCTTTGGGCTGAAATATGTGCAACCAGAAACTGAATTTGAATCAATTATAGTTGAATTTGAAATGCTAAACTTGAATAATTGAAATGAAATTTTAATTTGAATCACATAATTTGAAATTATATTATTTAATTTGAATTTGAATCATTAATATCTGAATTTGAATTGCTAACCTTGAACAATTGAAATGAAAAATTGGATTTGAATCACATAATTTGAAATTAAAGTCCAATAAAATGTGCCTCGATTGCTCTTCCTTCATCCTTCATGAGCCTGGGTGATAAATTGACGGTAAATTGTAACTGAATTTTATAAACTGAATTTGAATATGTATAGAGAATTAGATTTTCAGTCAAGATAAAATTTTATTGGATTTCAATTTCAAATTATGTGATTCAAATTCAATTTTTTACTTTAATTATTCAAGTTTAGCAGTTAAAATTCAAATATAAATGATTCAAGTTCAGTTTGCAGTGGTATATATTTCAGCCCATACCCCTCCCTTACACACACCTACACAGTGATGCTGTTTAATTAACTCCATGACAAACTAGCTGACTTTTATTTCAATAAGTAGTTTACAAAATTAGTAACAGAGGAGGAAACCAAAACACAGTGAAGGCATCAGTTTCACAGCAGTCGTGGAGGACTGTAAGCTAAAAAGTAAGCTAATAGAAATGTCTCTTACCTCTTGTGAATCGATTTTCTGTCATCCCCATCACCTCTCCATCGTCTTTGACAGTTTTCATGGTGCCCCTGTCCCCACAAAACGTCGATTATTCTCCTCTCACCGCCGTTTTCCTGATAAATCCACCGACAAAGAGAGTGAAAACAGCGTTAGTGCGCGTGTTGGTCAGATTTTCAAAAAGTAACGGTCAAATCATTAAACTTATCAACCGTCGTCACCAGGTGCGGGTGACAGCACGCGCTCGCGGAGTGCCTGAACTGGTGACCCCGCCCACTGCTCGATGCATGCACGAGACCAATGATATATGCAAATCAGCATTTTTCTGACCGACTGTGTTCAAGCTGAGGCAGGTTGACTTGAAGCATCTCTCTGACAGCTTCATGATGGAAGAGTTAGCTGCATGTGTTTACTCTCTTTACCATCAATTAAAATAATACATTTAATTCTTAAATTATATTATTTAAAAGCTGCTGAAGATGTGTTGACTATTAAAAAAAAAATGCAAAAGGGCGAATTAAATGGAATTGATAGGGGAGAGTGGGGTAAGATGAGCCATTTTTCATATTTCAGATCACTACATCAAGTCAATCATAGTTTTGTCTCTAACTAGTGTATCTGCATATATTTCAAGATGTTGTTCATCCCTGCAAACCAACAGACTGAGTGTAAACAGAACTGTCTTGATAATATAGCATGCCAAAAAAAAGTTGTCTCCTATGGTCAACTTACCCCATGTATGGCTCAACTTACCCTGCTCCTAGGGTAAGTTGAGCCGTATCCTTTCTTTTTCTTCAATATTCTGACTTCTCTTGCTCAAAATTCTGAGATAAAAGTTGAAATAAGGATTTATGAGATTAAAGCTACAGAGAGCACTTTTCTTTCCAATGGAAAAAAATAATTATTTGGGGACCCTCTCTGGAGCTCTTAGCAGACTAAATGTAGTAAGATGCCCCGTTAGATGCCCTTTAGGAGGATTTAATGTGCTTAGACCATAGACTGTATATAGAATGGACACTGTCTGCCTCCTCACTGGGTGAAGCCACCACGAGAACAGCACCCTCTGGTGACAGGCTGCAGTATAGGTCATAAATCCCGCCTCTGCAAGCAATCATGCCAAGTGTCATCACAGCGACTCTCGACGGCTCTCAAGCCAAATGCGCACAAGGCTACTGCACAATGTTAGTTTCGGGAAATGAAGAGAGAACATGGAATTACCGAGAGCTTTTCGGCTTCAAATGCGTATACTGGCGGAAGGCGGAACCAGGTTGTCCATAGTATATACAGTCTATGGTTCAGACGCCTCATTGGCAACTAAATATAACGTTTTAATCGTCATAAGAGGTCCGTGAGTTATGTTTGACAATTCTACCTTTATTTTTATCTGTACCAGGCTAACAGCAGATGCTTTTAATCATTTAACGCCAACTCACTCATGTTTAGTATACATAAACCCCTCTGAATACTTTCACTGAGTTTGTATCTTTGAAAGTCTCTCCTTCAAAACTCTTGTTTGTCTCTGAAAGTGGGTGTGAAGGCTTTGATGTGAGTAGGTATTCTGCTCTCTGTAACTCCACTTTTCTTTCCCTTTGGTACAAGAATTGAAGTCCAAGTCAGAAATCTTTTTGTTTTCATATATCCTGATCGTAGCTCCGGGTGCCACATCACGACAGCACTGCTACAACAATGACTACATCGGCTTTTGTCATCTAAAAATACTAAGAACCACAGGTCTCTTGTCCACCAGGGATTTGAAGACACCGACTCACGCCTTCATCTCCAGCAGGGTGCAATGCACTCTTGTTCTTGATCTACCAAAGACAGAAAACTGCTTCACATTCGACTGCTGCTGCTGCTGCTACAATAACAAGAGCTAATAAAACTGAAGCCATTTCATCAGCTCCGTCTTAGTTATGAAAATAAAGAATTTAAAGTACTTCTACAAGATCTGAACATAACATAACAGCCAAAGGGCAAAACGTGTTTTTGATATGTTTGAAGATCTGAACTCGGTTGGTCCCACAGATCATAAGGAAACAGGTTTTGTGCCTCCAGCCAGAAGCAAACATGGTAAAGATGAATTTAGCTTCTGAGCTGCCCACTCAGGACAAACTGGTGATGCAACCATGCTTTGACATTTTCACATAAAACTGTAAGTTATCTTTTTTTTTCCTTCGGAGAAGCCTTACATTAACTTTTAAGTTATAATCTTATTTTTAAATACCGTTAAATTAGTCTCATTAAAGTAATTCAAAATGGGTTTTAGATTCACTATGCAGTTTGACTTTGTAAAAAGGACATAGAAATGTACGACTTATTTTTAGGTTACCTGATAGAGGAACTTGGACCATGATTCAAAAGAACAGATGAGAACTGAAGGGGGAAATGTGGCGGCCTATGGGGCTATAATAAAAGGTAGATGTAATCTCATTAGCTAACATTAGACACTGGATAACAAACATTACTGTATGTAAGATATGATAAATAAGAGGTTGTCTTCAGCGCCTTTTCAAATGTTAGCTAGCCTATCATAACATTAGCCAAACAAATGAATTGTTAAAGTAAATATTAATCTTCTGTACAATAATTTAAAAAACATTTCCTGGTACTAGGCTGTAAATACGTTCATTTATGCAATGAAACGGTCATTTTACCAGATGATGTTGGGGATTTCCTGGCTTTTGTAACCGCCTTCAAGTGGACACATGGGGAACTGCAGTTTAAATATTATTCTATCGAGATACACCTCTCCTGAAATATTATACTGAGGTTTTGTAAGAGTGGGGCAAATATGCTTCCATTTCTTTCCAGCGAAAAATAGAGTGAGTATGGGGTCTTTCTGCTGAGAGTATTAATCAATATGGTAATATTGCCTAATTAAAAGGGTTACTGTGGCTTAAATTGGCGCAGTTGGAGGTTTGATCCCAGCTCCTTGGTGTTTTTGTGAAAGCTCTGGGCGAGTTTAGTCTCCGTGATTCTCTGAGCAGTTATAAAAAATACCTCTATTGGAAAATAAAGTTTTTGCTGTTATTTATCTTATGATTTGGATGTCTGTGTCCCACTCTTGATTCAGACAACAACCTTTACAGGTGAATTATCTGATAGATATGGTGTCTGAGCTTTCTGAATTTTGGATTAAACCACAAAGAGACTTCTACCCCTAAAGCCCATGAACTGAAAAGGGCCTGAAATCCATTTTTTCTCACTCTGAGAGATTCACTGTTGCCTAGAAGCAGATTACCGTTCCTCCTTTCCTTTCAGCCTGCAGTGATTTCCTTTTCATTCCCCTGCCTTATCAATGCTCCACATCTCCCCTCCATGTATTCTCCTCTCTTCGAGTTGGAGAGAATCCCTCCCTGCCCCTCTGCTCTCCCTAATAAGCCAGGGCGAGATTCCTTGGCTGACAGCTGTTCCAGATGGCATTATTACTCCTCGGTTTCACAGTCAGCTGGCTCAGGATCCACCACCGGTCGAGGTGGCTATCCCTCCGCCGTGCCCGAGCTTCAACATCAACACCAGCATATGGCAGTGTTACATAATAATGCATCAGTGGGGTGATATTTTACGGTGACCCTTCAACAAGTTCTCCTTTTCCTCTTTTCATTTTTACGGGGATTTTATTCGATGAAAGCTGAGTTCAAACCTGTTCATTTTACGTTTACACGAGCAGAAATTTAGTTCAACGTAAAGGTCGGGTTCAAAGGTTCAGGTACAAGATAACACACCGAGATGGGCTTTGATTGAGGCGCATTTGGGACTGTGCCAAGGGTCTCCTGGCTTATCCATAGAGCTCCATCTGTGTAACGCTATATTATTTCCCATAATGCTTATACTCAAGACAACTGCTGGGTTACAAACCACCTGTTTTGAGATATTTGTCTTTGCTTCTTGTTTAATCCTTTATAATTCCTCTCTCCATCCAGATCCGTCACCAAACAGAACTAGAACGCATGATCTCCTTTTCATGGGCCAATTTTTTTTTTCTTATTTGGGCTTTTATTAACACCCCTTTCATTACGCATTAGGTAACACAGCATAATAAATCTGTGTGATGTGAAAGGGGTTATTTATATAAATGTAGCCGAAGAAACTGATCACCCAAACCTTCAGTCTGTCTCAGCTCCGAGGTTTCTTTATGTAGCTTATTAGCATTTAGCTGGTGTACATAGTGACGACTCAAAAATGGACAATCCATTGATTTGGACTGTTGGTTTCACAACTGGCTTTAAATGATCAATAATAGCCCGAGACATTTAATAAGATCAAACAGATTTATAAGGGATGATGTATACTGAGCGGGTGGTTATGCTAAGTAGAATTCCAAAAGGGTGAGCAGAACCTTGACGTAAATTTGCCGTCCATCTTGCCACTACATATTAATTTAAAGATGAATTTATTGATTTTGCAGCTGTGACACCAATGAGATAATTCTCACAGCTTTTAAAATTGTTGCTATCATCACAAACTGCTTACGACTCGTGGCGTTCGGCAACTAAGAATACACTCACCAGCTCTGTTGACATTGCCCGGATTGCAGGACAGGATGTTGCGCTTCTGTTTTTCGATGAGCGATGTTTGGGGACCAGTAGTTCCTCAAGGTGCTTTCACATCCGTACCTGCTGACTGTCATTATATCCTCACCTTTAAGAACAGCTGTAGATGGAAAGAAACTAAACTTTTTTTGAATGCTAATTGTAGTTACTGTTTTTGCCACAGTGTCAACAGGCTCAGGTGTTATGCTTGATTTGATTGGACTTGAGTGATCCAGTTGTTCCTAACATCACTTCAGTTGCTGGTTTTGACAAATTACAATTAACTAATTTTACTTGGCTGGGTATTTAGCGAAACTATCCAGCCATAATCTTGGCTACCTTTTTGTGCTTCGGTACCAAATCCTGTTTTGATCTTCTCCCACAGATCCTGAGCAGCTTCCATGAGGGTTCCAACTTTTTGACATTGGAATTAAATCTGCTTAGGACCAAAACAGAGTCAAAAAGAGAGTACAGACTTGGGTAGTCCTCTTTACGCAGCAGCTATGCTAAAGTAGCCAACACTGCCATGAGCACTACGTACTTGTGCGTTGGAGTGTCTTCACTGCACTGTAATTACTTAAATGAAATGCTAGTCGGCAGTGCAATTTCTACGCTCGATATGTCACTAGTTTCCACTCCTGCCATGTTTCTGCACGCATGTGAACCAGGAAACCATGACAAATAAAAAAAATTTAAAAAAACATTATATTGCATTCACACAGGATGGGAATGGAATTATTTACCAGTCTAATTTTTGCGCACTTGAACACCTACGAACATATCACGTCTATACAAGTGCCGAAAGATGCAAATTTAGACAAGCGAGGAGGGGTGTCCTTTAGTCATCAAATATGTTGTGTTTCTTTCACAACTTAGTTAGCAAGCTCTCTTTTAACTATCAGTTTTGTCGTCAAATTTCTAGGAAGTCCGGAATTTCCAAATGTCTTCAGGGGATGACTTGATGCTGATTGGCTACTGTGGTGCAGGTAATTCGCTTCAATTCAGACACCCCCTTGAGAGATGAATGTTGCCGACCGCTTGCTTCTCTAGTTATACCAACTTTAGTAATGACCGCACGATAGCAATACAGAGAGACACGTGCTCAACCAAAACGCCACTCTATAGCCACAAATAATGCTCAGAACAGCACCTAACTTCATCAACAGGACATATAGGGTCCCAGCCATAGTACTAGCCACCAAACATCTTTTTAACTTTGACTCATTTCTTTAGCAAAGAGACTAAACACAACTCACCAACTCTCTTCCAGCAGCCACTTGTTTGTAGCGAGACCTCAGGCCAGTCCATTACAGACTACAGCGGAGTGCCGCAGCTCCAGGAAGAACATTTATGATCATTTCTTCATGGAAATGCGATCAGTGTTGAGTGCTTCATGAATTCTTTTGTTCAACATGCTAAAATCATGCCTTCCTGTCACTTGGCAATAAGTCGTATTTCTTTGCACTGACTTCACACGCACTTCTTTCACGCATACTTTGATTTGCATCTGGTGTGAACACAACATGACGCTTCCGATCACCAGGTGGCCTTAAAGGAGTTCAAACATTATCGCTGGCACTCGTCTATTCCTTTAATTCATACTTTTTAATTTCAGAAGTGATTAGCATTGACTAAGACTGGTATCAAAAGTGATCTAGTGGGTGTAATATGTGTATATTTAGGTATGTGCAGCAGAATCCGGGGTGACTGAGTGTGCGTTTCATGCTCATGTTGCAGTTATTGTATGCCAGGCCTCTTCATAAACCCTTCTGTTCCTTTCTCTGAACCACCAACTCTTTGTTGAATGTGACTCCTCCATCGCGCCCGACACGTGCTCACACGCCAGCTTTTCCATCCACTTATTTACGCCGCACAAATGCTCACGCTCACAGCCCATATGGTCACATGCCAGCCAACATACACAACATGTCACACCCACATTTACAAATTCACACCCCCTTTTATGCTCACATACGCTGCAGCGTGTATGCACTGATTAGCGAATGCATGCGCAGAACTTGCACAAACACATCACAACATACAGCTGTAAACCACACACTCAAACACACTTAGAGATACGCACACACACACACACGTCACACTCCTGAGTTGGGGCTTACTCTATTGGCTGGTCTTAACTGCTTTGTAGTATTTTTAGGCCTGTTATTCTGGGGCCTGTCCTGGCAGGCCACTGGCAGGGTATATAAGCTCCCCCTGCAAGTGGGGACCACTGAGAACACAGAGTGGAAACATCTCTGCCTGGCACTTCAGCCAACATCCAACAGGCATTTCAAATCCTCTCAGGGTGAGTAAAAGCCTAATCGACTTGGAGGGATGTAGCCCCCTGAAACCTTTAGTTTTGTGAGGTGAATGTGAATTTAACCACCGTTTTAAAGGGTTATGCTGACGTTTTTTAATGAAGTATAGTTAAAACTAAACAGGTGCTCGATTAGTTTGGAGGAAATCATATTTTCTTCGGTTGGATTTATTCCAACATCAGGAGCAGGTCCTCACAATTTGGGGAGAATTTAGGGACCCGCGGGACTTTCACTTTGGTTGCACTCTAGGAAGGTCAGAGGTCAGGGTGAGTTGCAGCACATTGCTCACAGAGCTGATTGGAGTTAATGGCCTGCTGAAGGACACTTGAGCCGGGCTGATACATGCCGGCATGGGGCTTCAGATTGGGTCGTCTGGTTGAAGGACAGTCAGGGTTTCCTCTGTGCCAACAGGCTGTTTCTTTGTAAAAATTCACCACTGTTCCAGGGAGGGTCATAGTTAGAGGATAAAAAGTGTTGTCACGTGTTGCATCCACACAGTAAAGCCCTCAATAAGAGGCTTCATCACATTCACATATAGAGAGTTATAGAGTCGGACTAATTTGGTGAAGGTTTTGACTTTTTTAGCCTTGACAGAGAGTAATGATCCCAACCTTTGCGTTAATTTCTGGTCATGAATAGACATGATATAATTGCCAATTCATCACTGTCTCGCATTGTATGAAAGTACTTTCTGCTTCACCCGGCGCAGCATGTGCAAAAGTGCTTTGGATCCTTTGTGAAGGGTTCCCACAGCAACTTAAGCTCCTGAACAAAGTACTGAAGCCCTACCTGCTCATAGGATTAAGAGCAGCTGCTATAAATAGTTCTGAGAAAATGGCAAATGTGTCCTGAATAGTATCTACTTTCTCTCTGGGTAGGACGCCATGCTTCCAGCATAATGTCAGCTAAAGTTGCAATCCAGAAGTTTTCCTTCCCCTTCTCCTGCGCTGCACGCCTCCCTCAGCAAGATGAGGTGACCCAGGCGGGATGCATACAGGCGAAGGCTCTGGCGCTTCATGATCTCCAGGAGAACCAAATCATAAGCGAACCAAATCTTGTCGCAGTGGTGGGGGCTCTGGTGCAGGATGAGAACAGGGTCCCAGAAAGTCAACAGGCTCCTCCAATGGTTGCGGCCCAGGTCCTGGACAGTGCAGAAGCTTCCCAGAGCGCTGTGGTCTGCAGGCGGAGCGTGTTTGAGAAACTGACGATTGAAAATGAGGATCAGCGTCCTGCAGCGAAGAGACAGCTGTCATCTGAGAGCGCAGCGAGGACCATCACTGTGGTGAAGAAGAGCGCGGTGAGGAAGGACACAGAGGAACTGAGGCACCTGAAACTCAAACCACACCTCGGACAGCGGGTGTCCTCTACGGCGACGGCGAAGAGGAGGTGTCGAAAGGACCTCTTCACCGGCTCTGAGGTCTTCCACAGGGTTGATTCGCATGCCATCAGAGCAGGAGCAGAGGTGATGACAAGAACACACAATCATCCCGGTGTTACATAACACAGGGGGTGCACTAACACCTAAGGCTTTGTTTTAGATGTACTTACCATCCAGCTCTTATTTTGGTCAAAGCAGAGTCTTAACATGGTGACTAACCGTTGAGTCGATGCATCAGCTTTCACTCTACACAAAACGACATTATCAACCATATTTCAGCTTCTTCTACACAAATAAAAATAATCTCGAATTTGCAACCAGGTTAGCTCCAAAAGGGGAGGCCATTTGCAGCAGGATAAAACTGAACCAGAGCAGACAAAGAATCGAAACAAAGACACGAAAGAGACGGGTCTAAGTGCCCCTGAGCACTGCAAGAAAAACACATCTATTGCAATGAAACCATAACAAATATCACAGCTCTCAGGGTGCACTCTCATCCTTGAGCATGAATAGTAACTCGGTTGTTGAATACGCTGAATGACACTGAAAAATACTGGAAAACAGGATGATGATGGCTGAGGTTGATGTACATAAAACATGTGGCATTGGTTACTTTCGAGTTTTCATGCTGGCTGAAGGTGAAAATTTGAAATTGTGTTTGGGATTTATACAGTATATGTTTTCTGACAGTAAATCTGTGTTTGTGTCGATCAGCTGAAGGAGAAGTGTGTGTATGATGTGAAGACTATCGCACAAAGCATCACGCAAGGAACAAGAAATGAGCTGGAGAAGATTCGGGCCATATGGGTCTGGCTGTGTCACAACATCGGTAGGTGTTGCACTGAATTTTACAAATCCCATCAATTTTTTTTTTAGCAGGGGGATTTATTTACAACTTGTTTCAGACTGACAGGATTGTTGTTTTTGTAGAGTATGATGTGAGCGGGTACCTCGGCCACTCAGAGAAAGTGAGCTCCCCAGAGGAGGTGATAGCGACCGGGCGGGGTGTCTGCTGTGGTTACTCCAACCTCTGTACCGAGATGTGCAGGTAAACAAAACCTACTGTCATCTTGTTTACATGTCATCAAGGGGAAAATGCTCACACAAGCATGCCAGGCCAGTAGGTGGCGATGATGTGTAATCAGTCTGGTAAGTCACATACCTTAGAAAACACAGTGAATGTTCGATGAGCAGCTGTAAACAGTCTGTTGGTTTACACTGACTGTTAAGTCAAGCTTTTAAACCACTTCCGCTAAGGTAGGTAACGATTATGCCCTCCGTTTCACCTTGTTGCTATGGGGTCATCTCCTAGTTGGCCTCATGCCAAATGATGAAATAGTCACAATTACAGCTTTTAATAGTTACTGCCTTTTGAACACACGATCCAGCAGTTTTAACTTTTTTCCATCCTCCCTTTTCTGTCAATATTTTGTTTGCTACTTTTGCTCCTAAGGGCCAAAGCCTGATGTGCAAACTCTTGAGCATGTGCAGAACACTCTCCAGTGTCAAAACCCTCCATCTTCAGCGACCTAAAACATAAATCTGTCAGGACTCCTTTTGTCAAAAAGAATAAATCTACTCGTGTAAGATTTGGGGGTATAAACCACCCGTCCTTCCACATGCTAACAAGGAAGGCCAAAGCTTGTAGTGAGGAGAGCAAACCTCCCCTCTGTTTCGTGTGCAAAATAAATAAATAAATAAATAAATAACCAGAACAGAAGAGGACTGGCCTAAGTGACAAACACCTGTAACTAGAGCCAGGCGATAAACCGAAAATTTACCGATACTGAAATTTACAACAATAACCGATGTCATTGTGCCTATATCAGTATATTAAAATTGTGTAGGTAGGGTGTGTGTAGGTAGGCTATGGTCTCATGTCCCTTTAAGATGCTGTCCTACGTCAAAGAAGCGACTCCACCCCATCCGGTCTGTAACAAAGATGGAAAGACAGGTGAGGAGATGGAGGACGGTTCAAAAGTTGTAGCGGCTGAAGTAGACGAAGTTAATGTGGGAGGGGGTGAGCAGCTTGTGGAGTAGTTATCATCCATTTATCGTTATCGAGGTGAACTGGTCAATATATTGTGATATTGATTTGAGGCCATATCGTCTAGCTCTACCTATAGGAACTGGGATGGAGGTGGGTTACAAAGCAGTTCCAGGATATACAGCAAGAGAGTTGCAGGCTAGTGCAATTTAAACAGAATACCCCAAAATACTGAGTTTTGCTTTCGTGACGTGCCTGAACTAACACTATGTTTAACTCTAAGTGTAGAGGGAGGTTAAAATGGAACCTGCAGTTTCAAAGGCCTAAGACTGATCCCAATTTGCAGTGGTGTTTCAGGTTTTTGCAGATTAGAGCTGCACTTACTGACATCAGGGCATTTGTGGGCAGCAGTACAAGCTCTGTATAAATAACACTGACGTATCATCAGATTGTTATGGCCTGTTTAATAGCTTTACAAAAAAAAATCCAGCAGAGAGGAACCAACTATTAGCCGCAGACATGGAGTTACAAATTTCAGCGGAGAGTTCAGTTTCAATCCTGCTCTATTTGGGTGTCCAACAAGCTCTTGAGGGAATAATCTGACACTGAAGTTGCTAAATGCTCCACTATTTTTACCGGCTAATTGCTTTTACTGGATGCTTTTGGTGAGTGTAGAGTGGATATGAGATTCGAGAGAGCAAAAGGTTAATGAGATTCAAGTCGACAAGCTGCCGTTACTGGAGTAAACTCTGACTGGTAAGCAGGGTGTACCTGGTGTCCATCCTTAATGACCCCTAATGGGATAAACAGTATACTGTAGGTGATAGATGGATGGATGCTACTGTGCTGTTAAGTGTCATTAAATCTTAGTTAAGACATGTCACAAGATTTTGCTTCGCGGCAGATTTTCAATCATCTAGATGTCGGTATAAACACATCAACAGTAAAAAGAGTGCTGTTTCTCCTCGATCCATCACACAGGCCTTCAGTATTGTGCTGCGATCTTCATCCTTGGGCCATTCTGAGCTCAAGCAGGACATTACAAGTTTATATAACCTGCACTACGGGACACGCAACCTTGAGCCATTTTCGAGGAAACACAAAATCCAGTCTGCTTTCTCTGTTTATTCCGTGTTTACAGAGAGGTGGGCATTGACTGCCAGGAAGTACCAGGCCACAGTAAAGGCATCGGGTACCGTCAGGGCCAGAGCCTCAAGAATGTGAAATCTGATCACCTGTGGAACGCTGTGCTTCTGGGAGGACAGTGGTTCCTATTGGACGCCTGTTGGGGAGCAGGACGGGTCGACATGGAGCACGAAAGCTTTGTCAAAAGGTTTGAAACTGAAGGAGGGTGGTGATCCGACTACTAAAGTAATTCTGTAGAGGGAATGTTTTGTGAAATACACCCAGTCCAGACATTTAAAGCAGGATCAGCCCATTAGCAATATGTTTTACTCCAAACAGCTCTGTTAAGGTGACGAGTTAGTGTTTAGTGTGTGCACAAACCCAAAATCCTGCAGTGAACTGGGTCTCAAACCAGTCTGCTGTCTCCATCTGTTGCCTCCAAGGTTTGACGATTTCTATTTTCTAACGGACCCGGAGGAGTTCATAGATTCCCACTTTCCAGACGAGGAGAAATGGCAGCTCCTGGACGTGCCCGTCACCCTGGAGGAATTTGGGAGGAGGGTCTTCAAAACCTCGACTTTCTTCACCATGGGGCTCAGGCTGATTCAGCCTCATCAGGCTCACATCGTAACAGGTCGGTGTTTGACTTGTTGATTCTAAATGAGGCTGAAATTTCCTTCTGATTCGACGCAATTTCATCTAAAATCTAAAATGGAGTTATCTCCATAGTGCCCTTTTTAGGAGCAGGTAAGCCCTTTTTTGAAACAAGTAATCAGGCATTTAAATCTGTATGAACAATGCACTATTGTTTAAAAATCCATTTCTGATTTCCACCTTTAGATGATGGCGAGGCAAACGTTAGCATCGGCTTCTCCAGACCTGCAACTTTCGCCTATGAGATCACGCAGCATCAGGACCTTCTTCACAGCGGCGCCTCGGAGCAGAAAGAGTCCAACAACTCCTCCTACGGCCTCCTGACAGTCTCACACCGGAGCATGAAGCTGCAGCTCCTGCCGCCTGCGAGTGGTGTGTATGACGTGAAGGTGTTTGCCAGACCTGACCCGGCCGAAACGCCCCTCTTTTGGGTCTGTTCCTTCACCGTGGAGTGCCCCACCCCAAGGGCCATGGAGGAGATCCCAGAGAACCCCTTCTTGTCATGGGGTTTGCAGACTGCTGCAGGGTCTCTGGGTGTTGCAGGCAGCAGTCAGGGCAGCGAGGTCGCTGAGGTAGCGGATGGAGTGTTTGAGTTGGCACTGAAGACGTCCAGGCCTTTGATGGTGCTGTGTGAACTGGTACACCCTGAACTTGAGACTGCTGTAGCCAAGCGCTGTCTGGCCACTCAGATACAGCCAAGTGTCCTGAATTGCCACGTCTTGTGCCCTCTGCGTGGCTTCTACAGGCTGTCAGTGTTTGTGCGGGACTATGAGAAAACAGATGTGAAGTTCCACAATGCTGCAAACTTCCTGCTGCATTGCAAAGGGAAGGTGGTCGGCATGGATGAGCTCTTTCCCCCTAACCTGAGCTCAGGGTGCGGGCCTGGAACCCGCACAACAGAGGCAGGGCTGATCAAATTTAGCCACACGACTGCACTGTTGAGCACCCAGCAAGGCAAGTGTAACATCACCTTCCACAACCAGCGGGACCTCGAGCTCCACACAGTGCTCAGCAGAGAGGAGAACAAACCAGCTGCCGTGCCGCTTACACGCCACCTCTTCTGCACATACACAGACACCAAAGTGACGGTGAGCGTCAGCCTGCCTGATGCAGGAGTGTATCGGCTGGGTTTGTACGCTAAGATCACTCCTGGGGGAGATTTCAGCCCCATGTGTGACTTTGTTCTGAGGAACAGCTGTGATCAGCCGTGCCCTCCTTTCCCCAGTGTCTACTCGGCCTGGAGGAAAGGCTGCGTGCTCTTTGAGCCCCGTGTGGGCCTGCTGGAGCCCAACTCGTGGGTCCGCTTCAGGGTGAGGATCCCTGGGGTCCAGAGGGTGAGCATAGTGGGGGAGACACGAACTGATCTGAAACTGAATAAGAGCAGAGTGTGGGAGGGCGAGGTGTTCAGCGGGGACGGGCTGCAACAACTTAAACTAGCCGCCGCCTTAGGGGAGTCCAACGATATGGATGTTTTGATGACCTTTGACATCAAGCAGGTGGTTTAAGAAGTAAGGAATCAAAGGCTGGCACAGACCAGATGGATCCAGCTCATGGAAAATGCCAATTAACTGCCTGATGAGATCTCATACAGACTGACTTTATCAAACTGGCTTTGAATACATCTCAAATAACTTTGGTTCGTCTTCGTTCAGGTCTGACTGCATACAGAGCAATCAGGTTATTACCGCTTAAAATATGGTGTTTTACGTCATTTTTGTCATATAATAAAACCTACCTGGCAGTTTTTAGAGCCCTTTTTTTGAATGCTATTCTTTTATTTATATTAAAGTAGTGGTCAGTAGATTAAAGCTGAAAAACGACACGACAATGGTGCTCAACAGTGATTTGATACGGATGAGCGGTGCATTTGATCATTGCTGTTATATCATCGAAAGTTAATCTGCCTTTTTGAATGATGATTGTTGAAATAAAAATAGTATGTGAAATCAATATCCAGATCTGGAACACTCTTTCTTTTACACAACAGATTCATCGTGTTATGGCACGAATGGGGATCAGAGATTTCTATTGATATTGGTAACATCAGATGTGGCTGCTGTTACCTCAAAATTATATAAACTCCCTGATGTTTGCCTTCATTCCTTTTCTTTACAACCGTGGGAATTTAATCAGATATTTAAAATTGAGGCTTACTGTCTCTACACACCGAGCGCGAGTAAAATCATTCGCGCAAATGAATTACATGTTAAGTCATTGCAAAGACGCGGTTAGACGCTCCTACTACTCTGGCAGTGCGAATGACGCAAATTGGGCGGAAGCCTTCGTCTTCGTCTATCACTTGATCCCGCCGGTTGAACTGGCAGGGATTACCTTTGAAATTACAGTTGACACGCGAATGAAGCGAGTAAATACAGTTCATTCATGCATCTAGATTCACGCGAATAAGGCAAGTAGATGATTTTACTCGTGCTTGGTGTTAGTGCCTCATTAGTCTTTAGACAAAAATGTCTCTTTGTTTTGGTCACATTTAAGTCATTTTGCACCAGTTTTAGTCAACAAAAAGTCAAAGCATGTTTTTCATTACCTTTGAACAAATGTTTGTCTTCAAAGTAATTTACCTTATCAATAAAAAAATCTGTATCACCATTGCAGTTGCTTAAGTCTGCAGTGTTTAACTCTAAAAATTATGATCTTTGATATGCTCTCTTTAGTGTGTTTCCAAACTTGGATAAATCAAGATTTAGACGTGACATCGTTAATGGTAATAAGGAACAAAAACAAGCAAAGCCAACTTCAAACTAACAGCAAAGTTTAACTGATGTCACCGTGTAGCTAGCTGCAATTTCATCACTATCATGGACCAAGAAAATTACGTATGAAAAAGGGGAAGAAGTGTGGACAGATTTACTCTGAGAAAGGATTAACACTGGGACACTGGACCCGTCAAACATATCAAAGGTCTAACCTAAAACATTTTTCATCTCTTAATTGTCTTGTTAATAAAAATCAAACTTTTTAAAAATCTGAATTTGTATTATCATTAATGTAGTGTTAGCTCGTCATCTCCTCGCTATTAAACACACTATATCTGTGTTGATCAACGTTGGCATATATCATCAGAATTTTCAAAACAAGATTAAAAACAGAGAATACTTACGTGAATTCTTGGAGACATACTTAATCGCAAAAGGAGGGAGAGGAAGAAAAGCGGAGCGGTAAAATTGACTTCTAACGCGAGCCTCTGGGTAGGCACCGCCAAAAAAGAGCAACTGGGTGGGATATCCTCCAACACTGTCCTGATTGGACGGCAGAGCGTGATGTCAGGTTCTGGCCAGGTCTCATGAAGGTATCAAAACAAGCCAGTCAGGGAACTTTGACAACACGCCCAGTGATTACGCAAATCTGTGTCACAGATTTTAGTACAGACACAGCAATGTTACATGTATGTTTACCGACAGGATTCAGCAAATAAGTCTCCTGAAAAGAGAATAAAAGATACAACTCTATCCTGGCCCATTGTTGGAAAAGAATCAAAACAGTTATCCGATCTGCAACACCTTTTTACAGCGCAAATCGTGACTTTGTTCTATTTTCTATCATTACCTACCACAATTTCTTATTATCATCTTACTATGTCGATTTTTTTTTCTCTTCTAAAAAACATGACGTGTTCATTACTCTTAACCTACATTCCTAACCTTCTGTCGAATAGCAGGTAGCATGGTGATTGCACTCAGTTGCCAGTTTATGAAGTGCTCCTTGCTTTAAATAGCCAGTGTAATATAACAGCCCTGTAATAAATCCTGCCATCATAAAGGCAGTTGAGTTTGGATTTAGAGGATTGACTTAATGTGCTCTTAAAATATGCTCCATTCACAGATTGAAAAACCCCAGCCTGCATGGCCGGCCTCCAAACCAGCTAAACAGTCGATTCATCATCGACTCTGAAAATAATTCCAATAAAACTCAACATCCCCATCTTCACGGAGGGGAGATTTCTCACAAGGCTGTGCTGTTTGTTTGTGTTACATAACAACCCGGCGAAGGAGAGTCCGACATGGCAACAGAAATGAACGATCAAGAGAGAGGCGACATCTTCCTCTTTAAAAACACGTTTTCTATCATTTTGTTATCTGTAGTTTAAGTGTAAAATAACAAGTCCCCCTCTGTGCATTGCACTATTGTTGCAGTGACCTGGGCCCACTCAGCAGGCTTTGGCAGACGCCAGTGAGAGTGATGAGTGTTTACATGTGGCTTTCATAATAGGCCACAAATAGCCACAGCTCACTGGCTCAGTAAAAATACAACAATAGTGGGGTGGGGATGAGAAGGGGGCGGTTAACGGTGGAAGTGATATGGTAAGAGTGCGTTTTAAGTGTACTTAGTGTAGCTGGGCAGGGGAGGGGATCTTGCCTTGAGTCGCTGGGGAGAAAGTGGCGGTGCAGTGGTGGCAGCAGAGAGGCGAGGAAACGCTGATGTCAGAGGTTAGCCATGTGAAGGACTGTATCTGCCTGGCAACAATACAAGGACACACACAAACACAAACACGCACAGACAGACTCGATCTTCCTTTCTTATAAACACACAGACACAGCTTGAGGAAATGCACAACTCAAACTGCGTTATGTGGGCAGAATTTCTTACATTCTCTCAGCACTATTTCAGCTGCCATTTCTCTTTAACATAGTGAGTTAATAGCCAAACCACAAACTACACACACACGTACACACACACACACATACACCCCGCGGACAGTTTGTGTTTAGTCTACCTCCCCCCAATAACAGAGAGCTCCCTGTCTCAGTTGGTGCTGATACAGGGTTTGGAAGCACAGAGGGAATCCATGCTGTTTCACCAAGTGATAAATCCACTACTATGCTGAACTGGCGGCATGTGTGGCTGCTGATATCTGAGCACCGAAACGGCTCGCACACATTTTAGAGCACAAAAACAGAGGGTGGACCTTCGAGTGGATGCTGCAATGAGGGATAGAGGAACTCCGAGTTGGTCAACCATATAAATATTTAATGGATTACGAGGTGCAATAAAAACAACAGTTAGATTATAAAAGCATCAGTCACAGGAAAAAAACAGAAGTTACAGTAGTTTTGTGCAAATGCAATTCAGTTTTTTTGCTCACTAGCCGTGAACACCCTTTGAAAAAAACCGTGGAGGTCAGTTTGGCACTTTTGAAGTTCGGTTCTTTTTTTTAAGTCTCCCATCGTAATAAACATCAGTTATTTATAAATGTTAATTTCCTGTGGGGAGGGGAGAGAAAATGAGCCCTTTAAAATGTTTCCAGGACCTAATTCTGTCATCATGACAACCCGCCAGGTAGAAGATATTTCAACATGTGGATTACTTGTCTTTTTAACAGGGATGTCCCGACGCTTGATCTAAACAACTGGATTATTATCTTGGCTTGGAAACAGACCTGGGTACTTATTTAGTACCACAAACTGTAAAAGGTTTGGGCTATGTCAAATTAAGTTCCTTGAATCCTTGGATTTGAGCTGATCAAACTGAGCCGATCATTGAACTCTATCGTTTAAATTCTGGCCGAGCTTTGATTTTATACGAGGACAATTTATTTGTTGACTTGGATGCTATCATCTAGGCAAACACAAGTATCAGATCGAGACATAAAGTACTAAAAATTTTAAAGGTTAGATCAAGATCATGCGCCTCAAAAGCTGATCGGGACATCCCTAGTTTTTAAAGCTCCTGTGAGGAATTTTTGAATGATCTGAAGCTGACCGCGACGCCTGAAACAAACAATCGACGACATGACTGGTGGCTCCCATATACTTGTTTCTAATGCTGCGTTCAAGGCTGAAAATGACTTTGCACCCGAGTTACCAACGTTTCAGTTACCAAGTCGGAAAAAAGGAAAATCAGAGGCCTGACACAAGATGGCTACAGCTACGCAAGTTATTTTAGCACTTGCCTTATATTCGGACGAGGCAAGCGCTAAAATAACTTTCGTAGATTTGAACACAGCGTAATGCTCATAGATGCTGTCGGGGGGTAGGTTTCACTCAAGTTGAAGATATTTCGATCATATCAAAAGAAATTAGGTTTTTTGTAAGTTAGACAACAAAGATATCGGAGGGACTACTTCCACAGGGGGCGCCAGATTAACCATGAACATTACTCACAGGAGCTTTAAAGAGCAAATATGTAATCTAAGTTCTCTCCTGAGCGATTTCCTCTTGCGGGGAATGAAGAGTAAGAGTCCGCATGTGTTCCTCTTTAACCCTCAATAGGAAAAATACAACCCAAACAATTAGTATCAATGGTCCCCTGAGGAATGGGTAAAATCAAGAGGGTTAAAATTGGACTCTTGAAGCTGCCTCCCTCCAACCAGCACAAAAATACCACAAAAATAACCCACTTCTTCAAGAAGTGCATCAATTTCCACTAAATTGGCCCCTTTTGAGCATTTGAGCCGATCTTTGAATGTAGAAAAGAAAAAATAAAACAACCCGCTCACGCTGCGTTTTCACAGTGCAGCGCAAGAACGTCACAATTCCTTATTTTCATAGAAAACCAATAAACACCAAACTTTGTTTTTGTCCTATAACTTCAGCTACAAAATGGCTAGCCTCCACATACAGGATGAAGACACCAGGGTGCTCGGTCTGCCAGAGAGCTGCGTAGCGGTCGCACTGGGAGGTTATGGAGGGCTCTTTGGGGCCCCCGTTGTGCAATAAGAAGGGGTGACCCAACTTTAGCCACTGACTCAATCATCTTTACCGTCTTTACTCTTGATACAAAACTGATTCAAGGTTTTGTATCCCAACAGGGGCTGGACGGAAACACAGCTAAGTAATTCAGGGGTATAGGTAGTGCACCATCCAGCCCTGAATTCCAACATTTGGTAAGTTTTTACAAAAGTACCTGATTCCTCGGAGCCCTCCAGCTGCCTCCCCCCGTGTGACCTCGCCTACTTTACCCTCTGGCTTCGTAAATACACATTGCTTTAAAGAGAACGACTCCATGGATTCCTTTCACCAACACTGTTGAAGGACGGATCCTTGCCTGACAACACCTCCTCCCTCCCTCCCCTGTGACAGAGAGAGGGATGGAGCTCCGAATGCAGCTTTAATCTCTGCTTTTCTTAGCCGTAGCCAAGGCACTGCTGGATCAGAGAAACCCGACGTCTCACAACCGATCAGGTTCTCTCTCAGGTTTTTTTTTTTTCAACGACAAAAATTGCATCTGCTTTTTGTAGCTTGTGCGAGGAGATACTCTGCTTCAATTTCATCGTCTTACAAAAATACTATTTGATGTTTTGAGGTAATTTTAAAATTTTTCTTTAGCAGAAATGTAAAATAAATGTGATTCTTCTTTCTTTGTTGTACCAGTTTGGTGAAAGGCAATATTGTCAGGATACATGTGGTATCATAGTCACATGACATCTTAACACATGCAGAATAGTGTAGACGCACTTAGTAGTAGAAGTATTTGTGTATAAGTGTGTGTACGTGTTAGTCGTAATTTCATTTAAATATCACAAACATCTTACATAACCCTCGGCCCTTTAAGGACGACTGTTTTTCAATCTCTGGGTCAATTAGGGTCTCAGTTTCTTGTTCTTTGACAGGACTCGGATTGATGGCGCCTCAGCCTCCCGTACATCAGCCTCACAAAGATTTCACTGTCAGTCAAGGTAACCCTCTGCAGGATTACGCAACGGCGGAGGATGACAGCAACCGTTGCTCAAAAACAGACGGCTTTGAGGGGAGCATTTCTGAAATGCTAAACGGAGGATCCGGCTAAAACAAGAGTCATTATTTTGTCAGCGGAGGACTTGTGTTGCGTCGTCGTCTCGACTCTGCGCTGTGATCTCACCGCATTTTGTTGTGTCTGTTATTGGCGAGCGGAGGTAACGTATCCCCCTCATGCGACAAAACGCTGCTCTTGTTGTTGAGACTCTCGGGGATGTTTTTGGGAACCATGACGCCAGAAACTGAGAATTTAGCAGCTTTTCGTAATGAGTGTCGTCCTTAAAGAGCTTTGTGAGGGTACTGTAAGTAGAATATATAAAAACACGAGTAAAAATTGCACTTCTTTTATAGACCGTAGGAGAGCTGTTAGTGGAACGAGTAACTGGGGTGAGCTTCTCTTTAGCTGCTTGGACAGAACATGCCTGATAATACAGGTTAGAGGCGTACTTCCTAACTAAGTTATATGTGCTATTACTCTATGTATCGTAGTATTCTTCTAAAAGACAGTGGCACATCTAGCTGAAGATGGTATGGCTTGTTCGGATCAACGTGGAGTCCACTGAGAGGACAGATGGGGCCAGCAGTGTCAGGTTAAGTTCAGGATTTCTTCAATCTGCCGGGTTACCGACGGGTCATGTGGGGAGAATCTTCGCTGACAATGTTATGACTGCCTGTCCGTCTGCCAGCCGAAAAAACAAAAGGGACTGATTCTCTGATTTTTACGAGCTGTTGACAGCGCAGATAGACAGACATGTCAAACATGACATAGTTTACGTCGTTATTGGCAACCCAAAAAAGTCTGAGGTCACAAGAGATCTAAAAATAGCCGTTTGGATAAGAGGCTAGCTGCAGTCGCTGAGTGTTCCCCACCCTGCAGAGGAATTGGGTAATGCATATCAGATTTGCTTGGAGCAGAAACACCCTTCCTCTCTTATCTGACCCGGTAAAATTTTAGTTCACTCAGATCCGTCGTGAGAGGAATCTATGAGCGATTATAACATTTCTATCTCGCATTAACATCCGATCTGGAGGATCTGGAATACAGTAGACTACCTTTAAAGGACACCTGCTGTGATGATCTGGTACAAAGTTTCCTGCTTAGATATCTTCACCTGACATCAGCTTCTGGATGAGGTTTAAGGACGTGCCCACCTTAACGTTCATGTGGATCTTCATTATGAGCAACAATTAAAATATATTTTTGTTTTTATTCTAGAAAAGTCTTAAATGAGAGTGAGAGAAACAGCAGGTCCCAGCAGGTTTACAGATATGCAGGGCAGATTGGGAGTCAGGGATAAAGCTCTCCTCCTCGATGAATCATCTGTACCTTCACTGTGCTCTGTTATTAAAGACTCTGCTGTGGACCTGCACTCTCTCTCTCTCTCTCTCTCTCTCTCCCTACAATCCAGTATGGGGTTTATTGATGGACCCATTAAAAATTAAATACAGTCTCGCCTACTGAATAACTATGGATATAATGTATTCTATACACACTTTGCTGAAACGACCGAGCTGCGAATCCATGGAAAGGTCGAGACAGCGGAGAAATATCGAAGCAGTGCAGCGAGTGCCGTGGTGAAAAAAAGGCGAGAGTGGACGGTCCTTACATGAACATCCACACTCCCAAAGCTGTGCGGACAAATGCCTCCAATCCCGCCTCTCTATGCGGACTGAGTGATCCGATTTCAGCGCACATTGATGAGCGTTCATGCCACTTGTGTTCTGATCCCCCAGATCTGGATTTAATGCCGGGTTATTGTGAGCCTCACTTCACTTTAGTGGTTAAGCGGTAAAAAAAGTCCTTATGAAACACTGCTGACCCCATGAGAAATGAAAGCCCCGGCTCTCCTGAAATTGCTGCAGGGTTTCTACACATTATCGGCTTCTAAATTCCAATGATTTACCGCTCTCTAAGTTAGAGAGAAATTGGACTTTTATTTGGGTCCTTATCAAAACCCTTTCGCAGTTTACCGATCAGCGTGTGATATCCTGTAGTTTGAAGAGCCTGTGTAGAAACCCTGACCAGAGGAAGACATGCATAGAACACGAGTGTGACACACGACCTCAGAGCGAACAGCGACACATCTACTCGTCTTAACAGCACAGAGAAAAAGTCTGAGGCTCTGCAACATCACACCACTGTCACTACAAGCTCTACTCAGGTTAACCCAGACCACACCACTCAATCTAGGGTTTTTTTGTAGACTTTTCTTACCCCCATTCCAACCCAAAAACTAAAACTATAATGCAACGTTAATGCTGCTTATGAGGAGTGTCACAACAAACTAACCCCCAGTCTACCTGGTTTCCTCACTGCTCAGCGTTGCGTGAACAGATGACAGAGCTTTGAGGAAAGTTTCTAGAGGACATTGAACCGCCGTGATTGACTGTGTTTCTCTTGACAAGCCCCAGCTGTTCTCAATCGTGACATCTAGCTGCAGGGCCTGAAATCTGTTTTTATTGCACTTTCTTTAGGAGTCTCGAGCTAAAGCACTGAGATGGCATTTAGCCGTGTGATTAATAATATCATTCATCACTTAACTGCAGCCAACAGCCTGTCCAATGTTTACAGCTCTATGGCCAAGCGCTCCCTCTGCTGCAGCGTGGCACACAGACAAGATAACAGGTGGGCCGTGGATTGGATGACAACAGAGGAGGAGCGATTCTTGAGAAACCCCACCAGGGAGCCCACCAGTATCACACGGCTATCCATGCATGTCCAGAAATAGAGGCATTAATTTGCCAACTGTGATAAACAGAAACGCACAGGCTGTAGGGGAGCGCGTATGGAAATTCCCTTCAATTGTGCGAGTCTCCGACCTCGCAGGCTCGGTGGCGTAATCGCACCGGTCCGACCGCGGAGACTGGTGATGTGTTGTGAACAACTTTCATCTCCTCACAGACATATTTAATTTGAATTAACATGAGTGACCCCCGTCACTTCGCCACTTTAGTTTGATAAATATGACACTCGACTCGTCGAAGTGCAAACTGCCCAGTTACTAGCGTTGCAGTGGGAAGTGAGGCAAAGAGCCACGCCGTGACGTAACCCCCTGATGACGGGGGGATGTCGTTGTTAAAATAAAAACTTTTTATGCAAAGAAATGAGGAAGAAAAAGTGACATAGTACATAAGAAATAAATAGACTTTTTGCATGTTAAGCAGAACACAACCCCCCTCCCCCCCTGTCCCTCCCACAGTGATCCCCTTCGAGTGAACTGAGACAGAATGAGGCTTTGGACGTACGCAGAGATTCTATCAGGGATCAAACAGGTCGGGCTGTCCCTGCAGCTCCAGCTGACGGTTGGATAGCTCGATCTCTTTGTTGGCCTCTGTGATGTACTCTTTGATGAACTCATCCATGTCTGCAGGGAGAGCGATGTAAGGGAAAACACACACACACATGCACACAACAGGTATTTTTCTATAGGCTGGATTTGATTGAATTAAGGGCGACACGATTAAAAAGGATACTTGGATGGAAGTTTCTTCTGTCTCCAAAGATGTCAACATAGTAGTATCCGTTGTAGAAGTAGCCTGCTGGTAGTTTGTCCAGGTGCCTCGTCAGCTGCACAGAAATATAAAATATCGGGATGACTCGGGATTATTGACTGAAAACGGCTCACATCAATAGGAGCTCCTGACCCAGCGCAGGCTCTCTTACACGATGAGTAATACCTCTAAAAACAAAAATCAACAGAGCGCACAGAGAACACTGGGGGATGTCTCGTGAGGCTTGTTCGCAGCATCAAACATCTCATGCCCTTTATGTTCTCATTGCAGCAGCAGCAGTTGTAGACAACGGTCCGTACAGGTAGAGTTGTTTCGTAAACAAACAATAATTAAATGATCTATAATGTTGTTATCTATGAGGGGGGATTTCCTGGAGCGTGCAGATTTACATCCAAAGAGGGGTTCTTCTACATCTCTCACATCTTTTTTTGGCAGTCTGCTAGATCCCTTAACGCCACCATGTATGAAACCATCAGCGGGGAAGTGTATATGTGCAATGCATGCATGCTTGTAATTCAATACGGGGACAAACTAAGCAGGTGCGAGCTCATAAAAACATAGCTCCCAATCGACAGATGTCTGCAGAGAAGCTTTGATGTCCTTCTGCACGAAAAGAAGTCACAACACTCATAACTATGTAATAATAATTATAATAATAATAATATATACACTACAGGCAAAAAGTTTGGAAGCAAGGCCATTTCAGGCCGAACAGTTGGGAGTAACTTCAAGTTTTTGTTCACAATACTTTTTCTAAAACCCAGCATGAGTTTTATGTATTTTGGGATGTATTTACTCCATGATCAGATGTTGCTTTCATGGAAATGCACCATTTTACTCCATTTACCTTTAGATATACATTGATGTTAACAGACCATTGCTAAATATATGTCAGCAAAAGATAATAAGGGCTTATTTTTAGGGTTGAAAACATTTGCAAGAGTCAAAACTTCAGTGCAAAAGCGAATAAACAAATCACAGTTGAATTATTCACTTCAACTTTTTGGCTTTTGAGAGTCTGCAGACAAAAATCCTAATAAATCTCAAATGCGTTCAAACTACCGCAAAAATGGCTAGAAAGTACCACTCCATCCTCAAGCACCATGCGTCCCACTCATCGGCAGTCTCTTTTTAATGAACTTAAGAAAACTTGGAATGCAATCCCTGGAACAGACCTTAAAAAACTTGTGGAACGAATGCCTGGTATATGCCGAGCTGTTGTTAAAGCCAGAGGAGGTTACTTTAAAGAAAGCAAAGTCTAAGCAACAAAAACTCAAATACCTAATAATTACAGTCAAAATGTCTTCTGATAAGTTACTCTTTACACAATAGTCATGTTTATTGTGTTGAAAATTATATATATGAAACTATGATCTTTTTTTGTACAAATCTGATCTTGCTTCCAAACTTTTGTCCTGTTGTGTACATAATAAATAATCAACCAAAACACACTCACATGGATGGTCTCGATTTCTTGTGTTGAGAGGTTACTTTTTGTCTTCTTCGGCTTCTTTGGCTGCTTCTGTATTTGACATCAAACAATCAAAGACTCCAGGTTACACTTTGGTTTCTTGATTAACAGTGAAAATCATTTAGATCAACTAAATTAATCTCAATGTGTGTTTCAAGGTCATTCACATCTACCTGCTTAGCACACAGTCTGAGCCAGTCCTTCAGCCCCTCCTCGGTGAGGCCGACTCCATCAAAGATCAGAAAGGAGGACGTGTCAGGGGTCCCTGGGGTCGGGGTCAGAGAGTCCGGTTTCTGCTCTGGGACAATGCTCAGACTCCCGCTCACAGTGTTGTAGCTCACCTCCATCAGCTGGTCCGAGTCTAAAGGGGGGGGGGTCCAGAAATGAAGGAGCACACATCCAAGTCACACCCTGAGTAACACCTGCTGGAGTTGCTTCATATGGTAAGAGCACGGTGGTGTTGATGGTGAGGAGGTGTGAATGTTTCTGCATCCGTACAACCTCTCTGCTCCCGAAATGGTACACAGAACTCACGTGCAGTAAAAATGAACGAGATAGTAAATGTCAACATCGAAATACTTTAATTCAAATAAAGAAAACAACTCAATAGAAGAACAGTGACCCAAGTTCAGACTTCACACTTCGAAGGATTAGGATCGAGATTACACAAAACGATCCTCACACTCGTTCCGATACGATCCCGGCACATCTCCTCACAGTCATCTGCACTCTCTCTTCATGCAAAAAAACAACACACGGGTCTTCAAATGAAAAAAGAGTGAGAAAACCACGTGGAGGAAACGAACCCGTGAACTATGAGCTGAAATCTAAACACCAGCACCAGACCAACAACCGAGCAATATTCCTACCGTCAGGATCTTCGTGCCTGCTTTGAGGGAAATGTTTCCTTAAATAATTACCAAAACTGGGGGATGCAAACGCAGGTCAAACATGTCATATTTTTTGCAGTAATGCTTGACATGAGAAAGGTGCAACCTGAAATATCAGAGGGTTAGCATGCATCAAAAGTTCAATGTTCGTGTGAAATTCCTACCGGAAAATCGGACTTTCCCCCAAACATTGTAGAGGTTTCCTCTGAAGGGGCTCGTCCGCAGAGATGACTTTAACGCTACACAGAAAATAGAAGAATAATGGCAGTTTTTATGGTGATTTTATGATGGTAAATTTTCCTTTAAAGCAAACTTCTTCGCAGGATTTCATGAGTGTGTGCTTTGCGAATACAGATGATTGCACAGCAGAGGCGAACAAACACTTAGAGACCTCGGCTGTCTCCATATTTGGAGGGACCAGCAGCTTATGTAATCAACGACAAACCCTGCCAGCTCATATCTGGAGCTTCTGTCACGTGTAAGAGTCAAAATAAGGGGGGAGAATTTCTTTCCATCTCACCTTTACAGCGGGTGACAAACAGAGGCCTCTCTAGGGGCCGCTTGAAAGCTATGTGCTGCTGGGTAAGGACCAGAGACCCAGAACCGGAGAAGAAGCGCCCTTTGCACCTGAAATACAGAGCACATGCACATGACACAAATGGTGAGAAAGTTAAGTTAAGAACAAGCCAAATGTTTGTGTTACATTTGTCTCTGGCTGGAAAGCTGTTTTCTCTACCAGCTGCCCGCAGGAAAGAGGCCAGTGAGGGTGATTCGCTGGGAGGGCTGTGGAAGTGGATGATGAATGTCTGTACACCTAAATACTCTCATCAGCAGATAAAAAAGATTCTTGTCTCGGTCAGAGAGCTAAGTATGTGCAAGACGCATCTCTTTCACACCCACACAAGCAGACAGAAAATACCACTCGCCGATGAGTAAATGAAAAGAGCCAGACTTCGGACAGATATTGAGTGTATGATCTGACAGGAGGATTTAGCAGAGGTTCATATTAGGCTGACCACTGTGGCATGAAGGCTGACTGGACCGGGTCCAAAGGGAAGGAGACCCCCTCTGTGTACATGGCAACTGCATGGCCAACAGCTTGTTACTGTGCTGCCAGGAGGCAGCTGGTGATAGAACACAAGATGCCCTGAGGGGCTTTACAGCAATCAGCAGTGATACCCCCACCGCTGCAGCCGAGTGGCAATTAAACAGCAGGGATGGAGGCGAGGCAGAGCTGAGGATCAGCAAGAAAGGAATCAACGCCAATCTGTCGCTCAGAGGCCAAAGGGCTGACGGTGGACACAGGGGGATGCACGGGGGCCACAGACAGTAAAGTGGAAGGAGGTTCTTACCATCCGGGGTAGAGGACATAACGTGCCCTCAGCATCTGCGGCTCACTGAAGCTGCTTTCAGACAGGATCAGGTTCACATCTTCATTCCTGACGCAACAACAACAACAACAACATCTCATGGTGAATGGATGCACAACACTTGGACGAGAACAAGAATCAATGTCTGCAAGGAAACATCACAACCAATGAAAATAAAATTCATCCATAATGGACTTTTATTTGCTGAAACGGCAATATTCAAACAGGCAACACCGTGGGAAACATTCCTTCAACATAACACTGCGAGCTGAGCGTAAATCCGACCCAATAAAGTCAGAACGAGCAACATTTTCAGGAGGAATACAAGCGGAGAAATCAGCGTTTGCAGCATTGATCACGATTCTGTGAGCGCCTACCTGGTGACAGCTCCTCTCTCTGCCAGTATGAAGGCTGCGGTGGGGTTGGCAGAGCGTACCAGCCGCTGAACATGCTGCATGAGAGGGTGCTTCTGCTCTGCTGTCAGCCCGGTGAACACCACTGTACTCACAATACCTGACATAACATGAAGCCCGGAGAGAGAAGAGGGGTTTTCAGGGAGAGATGGTTTATTTTGGTGAAGATGAAAAAAAAGGGTTTGTGAAGCTTCTGCAGAAAAAAAAAAAACACTCTTTACATGAGGTCCAATTTACTGGAATTTCCGCTGCTGTTGATTTTCTTGTTTCCTCAAAAATAACAAAGTAAGTGATTCTTTGACTAAAACCTCCTTCTGCTGCTTCGATCTCTAGTCTGTCAAATAGTCTAAACAAATAGATGGAGACGGTTTCATCCCAGTCTCAACTGATCAGGGCATTTTGTTGAACAACCGTCAGTCCACTCCTGTCATTTACATTAACTGTTAAAAAAATTTTGAACTATAAATTGAAACCAGTCCACCTGAAACACATGCAGTAAGACTAATTTGATACAACATCTAAACTTTCTGTAAAAGGAACAGGAAGATGGCTGCTGCACAAAACCATCAAACCCTGGACTCAAGAAAGACAGATAAATGTGATCTAAAGAGGGAAAAGACCAAAACTACAACAGAGAGGGAGGCTCAATTCATTGTTTTGAACAACCAGTACATCTCTGTGGTGGAGGTTTTTTATCTCTTGGACCTCCAGAACAACCTCCCAGCTTGACACTACATCTCGTCTTAAACTGTCAGTTTTACAGCAGCAATTTTGAGCTTCAACCTCCTCCTCCGATGTCAATGCTGAACCTCACATCTCTCTGGATTGATTCTTTAGCTTTGAATCTAACCGTGCACTACTGCATGCACATCAACCAATGTGGTGGGTCTTATACAGGAAAACATAAAAAGAAAAGTGGGCTAATATTAATAGTAGGGCTGGGCAATATGGGAAAAAGTTTATCACGATATATTTTTTTCATATCAGTCGATATCGTTAAATATCACAATATAAAAAAGGAAATTTAACAGTGCTTATTGGTAGCATGTCTTTTGCAATACAATAATCTACTGCATCTGTGAGGTGTTTGTGTCTCATACAACATTTTGTTGTCGGGCGTTGTGTTAGAGAAAGCGGACTGAATGGTCCGCTGTTTCGGCAGCACAGGCGCCGTGGGCTCCTTGCTCCGCTCGATGTTTGTAACCTTCTGCATTAAGCGTGCTCTGCCGCGTGGCACTGCTTCAGGTGGTGAAAAAGATTTGAGGTATTCCCCGACTTTGCGAAAACATGTACTCGACATAATTTGCAGTGCACATTACTCTGCTTCATGTCTGACCTCAAAAAACCAAAATACCTCCACACCATCGATGTTTTCATGCCAGTGTTGTCGATGATGTCGTCATCTGTTAAGCCCTTATCTGCATTTCTGTCGGGGGTAGCACTCATTTTCTTTTTTTCTCACCAACAGTGCTGTCTGCTTCATGTGTTTAAGTGTTATGGTTGTGTGTAGCTGCTGCCTGCTACTATGCAGTTGTTTGCTACTTGGTTCTCATTCAACACATGATTGGTTCAGTGCGAAGCGGACCAGGAGAAACTCCCCTTTTCATTGGCTATTCATATAGTCTACCAAAACATGGCAGAATGCCGACTATCGAAAAGCATATTGACCATGTTTTATATTGATATTGAGGGAAATTAATTTTCTATATATATCATTATCATTTTATCGCCCAGCCCTAATTGGTAAGTTGCATCTTCAGTTTCCTACCAACAAAGTTCAACCTGACTGTATGATGCGACTCACCTTGGCTGCACTGCTCCAACAGTTTAGGAAAAGTGAACCTGGAGTGAGAGAGAAAAAACAAACTCACTATAAATCCACAGTGTGGTTAAGTACAGGGTGGAGGCTCGCAGAGAGTAAAATTAAACTGAAAGTTTGTCACCTCTGCATTGACAATACCAGTTTTCAGTAATTCTAAAATGATGCATTTGACTGGTAACGGGTGCATGCAGAGTGCAGCTACAAACAGGATTATTCCGTGTTGCTCTTGGCTAACATGCTGTTGATCAATCAGGGAGCATTTCTCCTAAGATGACATCATGGCTTTGACTGAAAACTGGCCAATATAAAAGCTTCCTGTAATCTTATTTAATCCCAACACAATTTATCCCCGCTTTTTCCAATCAATCATTGTTATACACCACTATCGGAATAACTATTCGGAGCCAATTCCTCCTCCAGCCACCCCAGACCAGACCCACCTCTGCAGCTCTCCGAGGGAGCCTGCAGGCCGGGTGGGGAGTGTGGGGGATCAGTGATTTGAAAGGCATTTATCTTTCCTGTCCTGATGTAATGAACTGTCTAAATTCATCACAAAGAATGGATCATGACTGACTGATGAGCTTCGCTGCGGAGGGGTGTGCTGCTCGCACATGTGGACCTGGGGGATTAGAGGGCTATGCTGAGGGGGGTTGACGGGCAGGTCAGGCCTAAGCTGGGCTAACCGTCCCCAATTAACGCCATAGTGGGGGTCCGCAGACCTCCACACAATCTATGGCAACAGACAATGGTAGGAGGCTTGTTGAAGATGCCAGAAATGGAAAAGTTAGTGCTAACTCCATTTCCAAGTAAACCTCCATTTTTCCGTTGCTGAGTGAAGCTTGTTAAGAGTAGATTAATTATCAAAGCTTAGGTAAGTTTTTCAGGAGACATGCTCTAATCTACCGTTGAGCATCAAATCATTACCTCAACTCGACGCAAAACCTGTTTGAACGACCGGACCCTCTGGACTGAGCTCATCTGTATGCGACTCTCACTGTGCAGTGGAAAACAGCCTATTAACAGGAGTGGTATGTCATATTGTGGAGCAGCTCAGTCAATCTAAGACAGTGAGAAGCTCTGTAAGCTACGTCTAAAGCCTGTAACAAAAGGAGAGTGAGATTAAATGTAGGACTGATCCGATCTGTAAAAGGGACCCCTGCCTCGGATTTAATAGCTAAAAGTCTCATGTAACCTCTTCCTGGAAACCTCTAGAGCTCCGACCGTTTATTAACATCCAGTCCTGTCTGTCATCGTCCGCTCACCTCGAATGTTCCTTGGAAATAGAGACGGTAAAATATAGCTTCAACTTCAATTTCATTTTCTGTCAGTGCTGCGTTTTTGTTCAGCTAAAGGTACAGTCCGTAGAATCAGGTGGCGTTTGGCAGAACAGTCAGGAGAAATGAAATATAATGTTTCTAAACGGTGTTATCTGAATGTTGGGGGGACAACCTGATGCTTGGAGATAGATTTTACCTGTGCTCCATGCAGGAGGCCAGGGGGTTCACACAGGCAGTGACGGCACCGATGGTGAAGCAGGCCTGGACGACAGGGTCAGGGTGGAACAGCACCGCCTGGACCACATCCAGGGCATCTGTGTATCTTTTGAAACAAGTGAACATACAATAAAATCAGTTTATCTTTTAATACCAGAGGTTGCATTTTAATAAAGACAGAATGGTTATACTCATTTTCATCTTTTATGACATATCTATCAGTCAGGGGTACCATGACAGCGGCTCGAGAAAACTCTGATTTATCTGATCAGCTGCTGCCTCAGTTACTTTGTTCTGTCTGATTCTCCACTGATATAAACTTGATGGTTCTACTTTTCACACAGCTTTGTAGCGATGAAACGACCCCAAAGTTGCACCTTTGGTCAAGGTTTTAGTGGCCTATTTTTCACAAAGGGGTCATAGGTGGAAAAGCTAGGTCGTGACTGTTGCCCTGACAACATCAAACCCTCTCAGTGATTCCTGGTGCCTTTGTCTTTGAGAAGAGGAAACAGCCAAACTGAACTGAATAAGTGTAAGGTGGAGGAAAAAGCCAAGAGGTGAGACTCTGAGTTTCTTTCTCCTGCGTGAGTGCGTCCTTGACAGAGCTGCTGGGCGGACTTTTCTTTCAACATCGTCTCAGAATGAAGGCAGGGCCTGATGTCAAGTTCAGGACAAATTGATCAGTCCTAAAACGAGCTGTTTAGAGAAGCCAGGACATGTCCAGGGACAAACTGTGCAACATTAAATCTCATGTATTTATTTACTAAAACACGACAGACCTGCTCTGAATCTGCTCCGTTTACTGCAATAGTTCAGGTGCTTGGATCAGTTTCTTTGATATTTAAGAATAAACGTTTAACCTCAAACATCCTCATTTTTAATGCAGATGAATTTGCGGTCTTGACCTCTCAGCTCCCGTCTTTCGATTTTTATCAGCAGGCTTTCTTACCCAGGTGAGAGCACCAGCAGACGGGGTTTGCCTCCCGGGCCTCTCTGGCTCTCCAGGAAGCCAGACAAAAACTGCTGCAGGTGTGCGGCTGAGAAGCTGTCAGAGCTGTCAGGGCTGGGCTCATACACCACCCACCTAAGGATGAAGTGATGGGAGATATGAGATGTTTGCTTGTGTTGACGTTTCAATCACCGTTGCTGTAAAATAACAACGGCATACTAAAGGGAGAAGCCTGGCTCGATAACATCACTCTTACCTTCCACGGTCTTTGTTCAGCTGGATCAGGAAGTCACAAAGTCTCTTCTTGTGGCTTCCCGGCAGTCCGGTAATGATGGTAACGACGACCTTTGAATGAAACAAAAATCTCACCTTTATTTTAATGACAACCGCTCAATGTAGGAAGACTGGAAAGAGAGGATGCTGTGATGAAAATGGAAATGCAGAGTGAGGAGATTCCTCTGCAGGTGTTCACCTTGTCTCCCTGACTTTGGACGGCATTCCTCAGCTCTGCAGAGGGAAAGAGCACCCCCAGGTGGTCATACAGGATGGGCTCCTGACCAATGCTGCTCAAGGCAAAGTGCTGAAGAAACCTGATGTGGAGAAAAATACAGCGGTAACAAATCAAAAATGTGTCCACACAACTGACCAGCACCACGAGTTTACAGGAAAAGGCTAAATATCTGTTGGGCAGTCGATAAAAGGTAGTGATGTTTTTGCACATTTACAGACGAGGTCTAAAATTCTCAGTATTTGCTTTTGTTCTTGATGGTTTCGAAGTGAACAAAGCCGTTTTTTAATCCCCGATAGATTTGTGCTCTCAAATATGAGGTGGTGAGTCGATGGCATGTTTATTTTAGGAGCAAATGCTTCAAACAGTTGGATGTCTAATTATATTAGGTGACAGATTTAGGGCAGATTTTGGAAGACCAAGCTGCCAGAAGACAATGTGTATCCCTGCGTGTGGTTTTCATTGTTTGAGCGCGACAGAGAGGACAGAAAATACACTATGGTTGTTTATTTTGGCCGTAAAACGGAGGTGATTATGTCGAGTCTCTCAGCGGGAAGAACTTCTGTCGTCTGGACGGTCACCAATGTTAGTACACTGTACCAAGAAACACAGGCTTCAGTGCTATTCTGGGAAGACATACTCATGATTAAGCAATACTATCAAGTTCTATGACTTGTTCTGCCCAACTGTTAAGCAATCTACTGAGTGATTTAGGAGAGTACTAACATGTCCTGCTCTGGGAGTTGGGAGTATGAGGTCTTCAGGCTGCCTCTGCGTTTAGCCACCGGCGGCTCCTGACTGTCGTGCAGCTTCTGAAGTCGAGTGTGCCTGAAATAAAAACAGTCGTTAAAACAACAGCGTTCGCCTAAAAGTACAAACTCGTGTGACAAAAGACTTGTTTGTTTAAAGGTACAGTCGAAGAAATGGCAGCTGTGAGAAGAAGAAGCTGCTGTGATGTATGATTCTCCTTTTACTGTCAAAAATGAGCAAAATTCTTGCGGGCGAAACTACTGATTTCGTCTCTTCATGCAACAACTCACTGAATAAAAAAAATGCACATGGAGGAGTATCTTCTAAATAATCAAAAGTATCTATTTATTCAAGGGATTTTACACTGATTTCAACATATTCATGAATCTTATATTCCATTTTCACTGAGTCTGATCCGATAAACGACGGTAAATACCACACACTGTACCTTTAACAGATGAAACGACATTTTTTAAAGTAAGACTGATATGTGATAAGAAGTTAAAAAGAGGATTCGGTCTTCTTACATGTTTTTTTGGCTCCAGGTCAGATCCTGTTTGTCCATCATTTGAAGTCGAAGTCCAGAGTCCGACTTTTTCCAAACTGATAAAACCTAAAATAAAAAGAAGCACAAAAGTTAAAGTTGACATGATGAAAAACTTTCTGAACTTTCTCATTTCTGAATAACATCCAGTTTTAGCTCACTTTTTTATAATAAATTCAGCTGCATCATCCTTGCAAAACAGACAATTTATAAAAAGTAAAGTAAGAATGGGGAAGAAGTAGATAAAAAGTTGTGTTTGGAGGTCATGGATCATTCACACAAAAGCACATGAAGCGTTAGATTGTGAATCCGCCTCACCTTTGAATAAAAGGCCCTGTAGCTCTTGGACCTGGGCTGAAGAGCAAAGACCAGACACTGGTCAGAGCTGTGGAGGGGGAAGGGAAGGTGGGGGAGCAGGCTGCTCTCATACTCCACGAACAAAGTCGCCACACCGCCGAGGTCCTGAGAAGAACACCACACAGAAAGATGTTTGTAGGGGTCCGTATTCTATATTATAAACTCATTACTTTGAATGAGTCATTCGGTTTTACAGTAAATAACAATTAACTAGATCTGAGGTGAGAAAGCCATGATTTATCCTGATCTATTATAAACTTTTGCAAATCATATCATCATGGAAGGACTTAAAATATTACCGGATCATAGAACTTGATGTTGCTGATCTGATCTTTGGGCAGGGTAATGCTTCCAAACTGAGAATGGACAAACAGGAGTCCCTCCGAGAAGAAAATGATTTTCCCTAGGATTGATATTTGAAGAAAATGTGTTTGACCTTAGAAGTGAATTCAAGATTCATGATACCTGAGAGAAAAGGTTACAGAAAAACACTGTCTACGTATAAATATGAGCTACATGAAATTCCACCTTCTTCCGGCGTGGAGAGCTGGCTGCTGGAGAACACATACGCAGCATCTGCAGCGGTCAGAGCCGTTCCCAAACAAGTGCCTTCCTCTTTCTGTCAGAGACGTATGAGTGAGTGAATGATGAGGTTACATGTTAGTACTCACTTGGACTTAAGCATGCATTCAGATCCTGCTGTGGATACACGAAGTTTCTCAACTTACCTTAATGAGATGTTGGGCTTGCTCAGATTGCTTGACATCAGATTCCATCTACGAAGGAACATGATAATAAACAACACAACTCAAACAACACGCAAACTGTAGATATAGAAGTGTGATTGTGAGTCTGGACTGTAATCCACACAGTCCATATATTATATGAATGTGAAATTGATTTGGAGCAGCAAACATACCAGCCAGCAGGCATAGCGAGGCACGGTTGTGGTCAGGATGGTGTAGCAGCTGTCTGAGGACACAGTGCCATCTGCAGGACGGAAGCAGATTTGTTTAAACAACAAAGATTGACAACCACAGAAGGTGAATTACAGATATGATCCTCAGTTCAAACATTATGCTCCAGTGCTCTGTTGTCATAAAACTGACTCAGACTGAGGAATTGACCGAGCTTATTATCATTATAACAAACCACTGAATTAACCGTCAAAGTACCTTTCTGCTGAATGTTGATGCTGGACTCCAAGAAGGACTCAGAGAAGACGACAGAGCCGAGGTCCCCTCTGTTCCACTGCAGGTCTGGGATGTCATGAACGATCATAGAGGCCTTATTTAAAATCAAAAAAGACAAAATTAGTCAAAGTAAAAAGAAAAATCGTGAACACAAGTCATTTCATAACAAAACGTGAATTTATATCTCACTTACTGTTTTTACGACGTAACGGCTCTCCTCATCAGTCAGTGGAATGATCCTGGAAATTCAACAGAAGGTTCTTAAACAGAAGTTCATGGATGGATTTCATCATTTCAGCGTAATTTAAATCAACATCATGCACCCACCGTCCTTGTCTGTTCACTGCTTGAATCTTGAATTCACATTTGGATCTAAAAGAAGAAAGCACACGATTAAAAACCCATTTAAATATCATTATGCTTCATGTGTTTGCTTAAAGATTCATGCAGGTGAAAGAATCAGACTCTACCTGAGAGGACTGCGGTACTGACTCAAGTTCGCCGAGTCCAGACCCATGAAAAAGGTGTTCTCTGCGACATCTTTGGCCTAAATGACACACAGTTCTTCATGAACGACTGTATTCTCTACACGACATAAAGAAATGTTTGTGCTTGGGGCTCCGTCTTTCTCACCTTAGTAGCACTAGATGTGCAAGAGTAGCATTTGATTCCTGATAGGACGGCTTGAACAGCAGCTGAATAAATCTGTGACAGAAGTCTGAAATACAAAAATAAAGACTGATCAGCAATGAAAACCAGACAACCAATGGTGCTCAATGAAAAGAGTTCAACAGAGTCAGTACTTACAGGACTTCTGTTTTCTTTTGCTGTGGGTTTTGATTTTCTGTCAGTGAAACACAGCGAGAGAAAAAGTTCATTTATAAGCTGATAAAAGCTTTTCGTTTCACATTTAACACCACCCCTGACAGAGACTCTAATCACTGTGTTTGTGAGCTATATTTACCCAAAATGTTAGGCTGACTGAATCCAATTTATTAAACTTTATTACCAACACAGAGCCCAAATAACAGACAAGCCATTCCCAAGTACAACAGTGTTAAATGTTGAAAAACCTCACCAAGGTACGGAGTGTGGGTTGACCCAAAGAAATAGGTTCGAGAGCAAGCAAGAGGTCCTTTAGGAGCCACACACTGCAGAATCTAACAGACAAAAATAAAAACAGAATAGTTTTTGAAAGACACAACCGTGGTGTGAACCATCCTCTAAAGTTCTGCAACATTACATTAAACTAATATCTTCAGGAGATACCGCAAAAAACTGATGTTACCAGACATTCTCACTAGATGGCGCTGCAGACCTGTATGCTTTCTTTATTTGAGCAACATGTATTATTTTATATTCAGCCATCAGAATAAGAAATCATCAGAAAATATTGATTGACATGCATAAAGATGTTGTCAGAGGCAGTTATTTGATAAGTTCACTGCGTCTGGTGTCAGCCTCTCATCTTCTCACCATGTGTTTGGCTGTGGAGCCTCCTGTTCCTGTGCTCCGGACCTGATGACTCTCCGAGGGAAAGTTGAACGAATAACTCTCCAGATCTTCAAGCGAGGAGTGCTTCCCAAACAACACGAATGGTTGCTGACTTTTGCTGAAATTCAGACACATTGGATTATGCAGAAACATGTTTTCTGTCTTTAAACTATAAAATGCACACACAGTTTTACATTTATGCTGAATACCTTTTATCTGTGATGTTGCTTGAGATCAGTCCATGGGAGTAATAAATGCGGAATGCCTGTGGATCGATGAGAACAAACGTTACTCACTTAGGCAGGACTCTGCAGTTAATTCCACTAGGTTTGATACCCAATCACAAATGTGGGATAATTTGTGACATATACCTCTCCCGCCTGTGCTTCAGACAGCTCCAAGATGGAAAGATGGCTCTCCAGGTCCATGCTGGAGAAGAAGCAGCTCCACTGCTTTTCAAAGTTCACCAAATCCTAACATACAACAGACGACACCAAAATTACTTGCACCTTTTGTAGACAAGAACATGTTTTCTTTATTGGCTTTGTGGTGATACGATGGAAAAACAAGCTTCTCATTACCTCTGTGAGGACATGATCCAAGGACACAGGGTCGAGTCTGTTGTAAACCTGCCACAGTTTCTCACTCATGTCCATCAGCTGGAGAGCAAGAATACACACAGCAAGCTTTAATCATACATGCAGAACAACAAGAAAAGTACGTATTCATCAAACAAATTTAGGGCTTAACAAAGCACATCTTTATTTCTGCAGATACCTTGTACTTTAAGGTAAAAAAACTTCCTCCACCGATGCCATCCAGAGCAAACGCTTGAAGGAGGGGCCACTTTTCCACCATGAACATATCAAAACTCTGGATATGTCCTAAAGGAAACAGTAAAGCTGGGTTAATTACCTCTGTTGTTGGTGTAATTATACAGAATGTGTTTACCGTGGATGACAAGCTGCTGAGACTACATTGTGTACTGGATGATGAGATATAATGTCCTAATGTTTAACCAACTTCATAATACAAGTGTAGCTGATTGTGAGGATTATGATGTGGTGATATGTACCCTGGGAGCTGTAAGGTACTCCGATATGATAACAGTCCTGCACCATCGTGACAAAGCTGGAGATTTTGAACTCCTCCGCCGCTTCCTCATCTTCATACTGTGTGGACAGAGATTAAGAAAAGAGATGGCAATTTAAACATTTACAACCAGTATATCAACAACAAAAAATACCTCTAGCAGCCTGAGTTTTGGATCTTTTTAGCAGAACTAAAAGAGGTGCCGTTTTTTCCCCACTATCTATTTAACTTGACAAGGTAAACTTCTCTAAGTGGCTTGTCTAATAGGACAGGTAAAAATTTGTAGTAAACTGCAATAGTTACAACTGCAACAGCAATCCGAATACTCAAATAGTTATTTTCTCCATGTCCAGGAAACAGGAACTCTGATCATCGGTGATAGTCTTGAGGAAGAAGACAGCTGTCCTACCTCTGCCTCTGTCATGCAGTAGAGATGCAGGTTCCTCCAGTGGGACACGTAGGGCAACAGGTGATTGTAGTTCACTGGGTTGCAGTACAGATGGACGCACTCTGCTTTGATCAGCAGGATTACATCTGGAGAGCAGACAGGTAATGTGTGAGAAAAAGGCATTGCTCCAAAGAGAATGAAAAACACCAGAAAAAAACTCACCATCTAGGATTTCTTCAGGAAATTCCTCAAAGGCATGCTCCAGGTTCAGCTGATTTTTTCCATAGAGTTCATAGAACAGGTATTTTGCCAGCTCAGTGCACCCCTCATTGTACCTGCTGTCAATACCTAAAGTAGATGAAAAAACTGTTATTCAGAACCTGTTTTCCTTTTGGTTTGGTTTGTCAGATCAGATGAAGAGATACATGTTAAGTAGAGCAAAACTTTGCCTCTTAACATACCGAGAGAGCACAGGATGCCATCAGGAGTGGTGGTGCTTCCCTCACAGAGAAGAGACTGGACCTGACGCAGACGACAGCAACTGAAAAACACAACATTTACATCATGGTTAAAATATCATGAAAAGAAAACAGCATTCTCTCTTCTTTTAAAAGGCCAAACATCCAACTAAAAATGAACACAGACATATTATTTCCACAACATGCTGAAAATCTTTCTGCCCGGCACGCAATCCCAGCAGGGGTGACAGACATATCAGATCATTACAAAGTCTAGTTGCTGATGGCCCTGTCTGCTTTTGTAGGTCATGAAGAGATGTCAATATCCAAGACTTATAGGGGCTTTAAAAGACAAATACACATGAATACATACAAATGATGTTTTTGTTTGTCCCCAGGTCAAACTTAGGATGAAGTTTGTTGGTTAGGAGTGAATTCAATAAAAGTAGATCTTGTATTTTGAAAAACTGTAGAGAGTAGAGTGGGGAAAGAAATTGATCATGTGACCAAATATTTAGGAGATGGGCATCAATTCATGGAGTCTGTGAAGGTTAGAAGCACACGGGTGAAGGGGTTAGACATTTATTTACAATAAGTTAGAGACAAAACTGTGATTGACTTGATGTAGTGATTGAAATGTGAAAAATGTCTCATCTTACCCCACTCTCCCCTACTATATGGGCTCATAAATAAGTATGATAGACAGAGACTCAATGTATAAAGTTATATAATTACAGGATTACTTTATCTAGAAATAATCACATTTAACTATAGTACGTTATATTATTATAATTGTAACATATTGTGGTTATACCAAACGAACGAGAATTTCTCAGAATGCACGATATCGATAAGCTAAACGAATAATAACCTGTAGTTTATAGGTAACTTAACGCTGTTAGAAACGTTATTTGGTGATAACTGCGTCGGACCGTTGACGTTAACGGCAGAGTCCCCCCTCGCGCTAACGTTAGCCAAAGCTAGCTTGACAGCTTCAGTGGAGCGTTATCTTCCGAACACAATTCGACATTACCTGACAGCTGGGTTGATTGCAGAGAATTTCCCGTTAACTCTCCTCATACCCGCCATGGTTATTGCTGTAAGGGTTCACACAATTCACGTTTTAAAGCGGCCGAGGGTTTGAAATTTAACGGCGAATAAACTACATCTTCTCCATCACCCTGGAGAATGTCTACATAAAATAGCGTAGCAACGGTGCAAACCATTCGATATTTAGGGGTGTCTGAAATGCGACTATTTTTAAAGTGAAAGTATAGAGAGATTATATCCATGAATAAATCTAATTATAGTCAATTTTACGAATAGATAACACGATATTTTGTACTAGTCGGAGTAGGTGATTACAAAAGGATAATTTATTCGAAATTCTCGGTGTGTCTCCCCCCTGTTTGTCGCTGTGGTAGTGTCTTGTTTTGGGCCGTTGAGACAGCGGCAGGAAGCAGCGCGCAGCTGCACAGAGATGGTGCAACCCCTCAGTAACACCAGTGTGTGTGTATGTGGGGGGAATTCCTCAGCCTGATACTGCTAATATTGAATAATGCGTTCATAATATTTTTAATTCCTATTTTAAGTATGTAACTTCCTTTAATTCTTTCAATATGAGTACATTTATTTGTGTTTCCTGAAGTCTGGTAAGAGGTTAAACGCAGGCACGGGTCTCTAGTATAGATCAGCATATATACCAGGGCTTTTGCCATCCTGCATCTCATGCATACTAAACAAGACCTGCCATAAAGTGATAAATTAATAATCCAATCATGACAGCTGTGCAAATAAGGGTCATACAGGAAACTGAACTAGGCCAGCTGATTTAGACTTGATCTAGACTCATTTAAGGTCACACTGTTCACCTTAAATATTACTTATAAACACAAGTTCATATGCATAGTATAGTTAAATTTCTTTTGTACTGTAAGGGCTAAAATCTGTGTACACTACTGGCCAAAAAAATCTGTAAATGAATGTAGCATCTTCCTTTTTTGTTGATATTCTCCACAGGATTGCACAATAAAGTGTAGGCCTACAACAATCTATTTGAGGAACACTATTTTTCATACGTTAAGTCAGTGTTTGTCCAAAAAATTTTGAACATGAGAAAGTAGCACCAAACCAATAACTGGTTCGATTCAGGCTTTTCTGCTGTGGAATGCACTTCCTTAACAACAAAACTACTGGTCACACCAGAAATGGGATCAGGAAGCTCCTCATCTATTTTGCTACCCTCATAATGCTTGTTTTGGAGCCAGAGAATCCAGTTTCTTGGGTTATCTTGAGCTGACAAGGATCTCAACACAGCAGCACCTGCAAAAACATGACACGCAGTAAGTTTTTCTTTTTGAAAATATGTGTTTGCCCTACATTCAGTAGTCAGAATACTATCAAATTTGTTTGCAATACATGATTTAAGCCACTTTAAGACCTGAAAATGAGAAGAATATAATGGTTTGTGGTTACACTGTAACAAAAAGTGCAGGAATTTAAGTATAAATGATTCAAAGTCACTTACAAATCATTGTTGTGTTGTTGGCAGACGGTGTGACCAACTCTTATCAGATGATGGTGGTATCCACAGCGGAGGAATGGTTCTCCTTCAAGTCTCTGCTGCAGAATTGCTCAGGTGATAAACACCTGCAGGTAACTTCTCAAGGATCCCATCAGGCCTGTGACCTGACTGTGGACGGCCGCTCAGTCAGCCTGCACTATGCAGAGATAAAGCAGAGCATGACTGAGGAGGACATGAGTCAGGAGTTAGATGGGTGCTTTAGAGCCTGCGCTGATGGGATCTGCACTTTTCTGCTGCTTATCCAAGGTGGACATTATACAAAGACAGAAAGAGGGTTGGTTGAGGTTTTGCAGGCTCACTTTGGAGAAGAGGCTTTAAAATTCTTGATGGTTCTCTCTCTGGAAGACGGAAAAGTTGCTGACACATTCGATGACGCCCTCCTGGAGTTACTTCAAATGTGTGAGGGGAGGTACTCCCAAATCACATCATCTGCAGCCGGTGACAAACTGCGCTCTCTTCTCAAGATGGTCGACCACATGCTGACTGAAAACGGCCTCACGGGCTACACAGAAGTCATGCTGACAGAAGCAAAGACGAGGGGCATGGAGAATTCGTCCATGAAGATACTGAGACAGAAGGTGCTGGAGGCTGAGGAAAACGAGCAGGCTTTTGAGCTGATGGTTCAACAACAGGAGGAGAGAAGAGCCAAAGAGATGGAGGAGCTGAAGGCGAAACATGCGGAGGAAAGACAGAAGGAGGCCGCTGAGAGAAAGCAACACGAGAAGAGAAAAAAGAGCTCCGAGGAGGCTGTGATCAGCCACAGAGCCACGCTGAAGCCCCAGATCACCCCCACTGATGGTAACACTTTCCTCATGTTGATTTGAAAACTTCAGTCTTTTTTTCTGTGGTGGTTCAGAAGAAAGATTATGTTTACATCTTAGTAAATCTTAATGGTTTTAAAAGCAGACTGAAAATGTACTTTTTCAGTCTTGCTTTAAACTAAATTTTATATCATTAACTTTAAGTGTTTAAGCATTTATCTCTTTCTAGTTTTAATGACAGGATCGTCTTTTATCGAACTATTATTGAGCTATACTTCTAATTTCTTTAATTTCATTCTATGTTACTTTGTTTTTAGATTTTAACCTAAACCTCCAGTGTTTCCTTATCTTGAGTTTTAAAATGACGTTTCCTCAGTGCGCACATTCCTGTTTCCACAAAATCAAGCCTTTTTAAGTTTATGCATTTTAATACTGTTCAGATCGTGGGGTGGGAATGAGGGGTTGGGTTGGGGTAGATTTAGGTATTCTTTGTTTCTTTTATTCCTTTCTTTGTGTAAAGCACTTTGTGCTACATGGTCGTGTATGATAAGCGCTGTATAAATACAGACTGATTGAGTAATTGAGTAGTGTAGTGGTTAGCTCTGTCGCCTCACAGCAAGAAGGTCCTGGGTTTGAATCCGGGTCAGGGCGTTTCTGTGTGGAGTTTGCATGTTCTCCCTGAGAAAACATGCAGAAGTGGGGTTAGGTTAATTGGCCACTTACAAATTGCCTGCAAGTGTGAATGTGATCATGGATGGTTGTTCATCTCTATATGTCAGAACTGGCGACTTGTCCAGGGTGTCCCCTGCTTTCGCCTGAAGATGCTGGGATAGGCTCCAGCCCCCCCACGACCCCGGGGAACAGGAATAAACAGTAGAAAATGGGTGGATGGGTGGTTGATTAATACAAGAGATTTTCTTGATGCTGCAGCTTCTACCACCAGGTGGTGATACAGACACACAGTAATATTGGCAGGCCACAGCCAGAAGAATCTGAAGGCGCTTTTCAACAGCAGGAACCTTTTTATGAGCTCTGTGCATTTTGATAGAAAGAACCAGGGTCTGAGTTTATGGTGGAAATGTCATGATTTCAAAAATACCTTTCTTCTCTTTTTTCTTTCTCTAAGATGACAACGTAAAGAAGATGTCCATCGTCCTGTTGGGTCTATCTGGCAGCGGGAAGACCTCTGCTCTGAATCTGATCCTAGAGAGAGTAGGAAACCAGTACTTAGCTAATGAGTCTAGTCTGGAACCCCCTGAGCCCACCTTGTCTTGTGAGAGACAGGAAGTGCTCGCTGCAGGGAGGAAACTCATCCTCGTGGACACGCCTGAGCTGTGGGATGAAGACGGCTTTGAGGACTTGGAGCAGGTCAAGGACTGCCTGTCTTTGTCCTTACCGGGACCACAAGTCTTCCTGCTGGTTCTCCAGATGGGCCGCTTCACCCAGGGCGAGTGTGAGATGCTGGTGCACCTGCAGAGGATATTCGGAAGAGAGTTTACCGAGTACACCATCGTTCTCTTCGTCAGCTTCGACGGCAGCCACCTCAGGCCTCAGAGGATCGACGACCACGTCGCCGGAGCCCACGCTGCCCTGCAGGATCTGATCAGGAAGTGTGGGAGCAGGTATTATGAGCTGAATGTGACCAAGTCTCACAACGCTCTGAACTGTCTTCAAGTGAAAGACCTGCTGACAGGAATCAATAAACTGGTGGCTTCACATGGAGGTCAGCCCTACGCAGTGAGGAGGTTCTCTGTGCAGGAGCTGCAGGAGAGACGGAAATACATGGAGGAGAGGAAGGAGGGAGCTTTAGAAGTAAACAGCCTGTTAAGAGATTCTTGATCAAAATTAATTTTAGGGTCAAACACACCGTAACACCGAGTTAGACACCCCGTCGAGAGACTGATATTGCCGACCGCTTGCTTCTCTAGTTATACCAACTTTAGTAACGACCACAGGATAGCAATACAGAGAGCCACGTGCTCAACCAAAACGCCACTCTATAGCCACAAATAATGCTCAGAACAGCACCTAACTTCATCAACAGGACATATAGGGTCACAGACATAGTACTAGACACCAAACATCTTTTTAACTTTGACTCATTTCTTATCAAAGAGACTAAACACAACTCACATACTCTCTTCTAGCAGCCGCTTGTTTGTACACTGGGCGAGTCCATCGACTGCAGTGGGGCGTCACAGCTCAAGGAAGAACATTTATGATCATTTCTTTATCATTTCCTTGAAGTAATAATCACCATATTAATCATTTTTCACTGCAGACGCGGTCATTCTTCTGCTTTAGCGTCTCAGTCTGATTGTATTTCCATGAAGAAATGATCATAAATGTTCTTCCTTGAGCTGCGGCACTCAGTGTTACGGTGTGTTTGATCCTAAATTAATTTTACGCTGGAATATCCCATTAAGTACAGAAGCACAAATACAACACACGTGAATCTTTTTAACCTTTTAAAGTTTTCTTTATGCAGTTAGGAAGAACAAGTCCTGCAGGGATTAAGTGATTTTTATGCTGTCATTATATTTTCTTTTTAAGGTGGAATTTAAATACACGAAAAATTTAAGGGAGTTGTTTCTCTGAATATTTCTAATGGTAATTTTAAAGGACAGAGACGGGAGACGAAGCACAGCTGCAGATTTGTTTATGTTTCTATGTTTCCCCATTTCTCTGAGGACTTGTCTGATAAGTTTATCAGCTCTCTGGATTAGCCAACGAGGACATCCTTAAACACGATCTGTCATGTGTATAAAAACAAAGAGTCTGATGCAAACAGGTTCAGATTTAATCAGAGCTGTGATTATATAACCCTTAAATGATATGATTCATGACTTTTACTGTGATAATAATGATTTTGGTTCTGTCGTTTCTGTAAGATGTTCTTTTTTTAATTTTTGCATCAATTCAGACATGACACCTGGGTGTGATTGATTGTATTTTATTGATTCTTTTAAAGTGATTTTCAAATAAATGATATAAAATGCACTGGCAGGGTTGTGCCGTGGTTGTTTGCCTTTCTAAAATCAGTCTCAGATGGTTTGTAAATCATTCAAAAGCAGTACAAATACAGCAAATATAACGTTACAGCTGGAAAAAATTATTGTCTTATAAAATAAAAAATGTGCTTTTTTAACTTTAAGTGTTAATGGCTAGTCTTCTTTATATCTAGTCCTCTGTTGCAGGGGCCTGCTGGGTCATGGTTGTGGAAATCCACTCAGTGTAGTGGGAGATGATGGTGTAAATTCCCGGCTTTCGTATTTGGCCACACTTCTTCCCCCCGTTGGAGGTGATTCCCACTGCAACGCCATTAAAGAGCAGAGGACCTCCAGAGTCCCCCTGAAAGAACATCAAAATACAGACAGACAGGGTTAATCTAGTGTTCAAACATCTATAACTGAACAGAGGATGAAATGTAAACAAAATGAGAAACACTGATGAGCTCAGACTTACGTCGCAGCTGTCATCCTTATTGGTCGGCTTGTCGCAGGGCGTTGGACAAAGTCGATGAGCACAGATCATGTTTGGGGTGAACTTGCTGCCAAAGTAGTCGCCGCGTCTGCATCGTATAGAGCTGACCACATCCACCACCACCTCCTGGAGCTTGTCTGGTCTGTTTCCCAGGTCATCCAGGGAACCCCAGCCGGCCGTCTCCACCACGTCATTTGTGGTGGGGTTGGTGCCGCCTGCTCGCAGATATTCCAGAGCGCTGACAGCTTCAGAGGCGTTAAATGGACGGTCCAACTGCAAACGTCACAGAAAAATCATATCCTACCTCTGCAGACCCGAGAATTCAGTCTGAAATACTCAGACACAAATGAAACACTCACCTTAATCAAAGAAATGTCATTGTCATAATTGTCACTGTTGAAGTTTGGATGATTGTGAAGCTCCAAAATATCAAACGTCTGCTTTGTGTCTTCAGGTTCGCTCAGAGAATGGACACCCAGAACTACTTTCCTTCCATTTGGCCTGTTAAAAAAAAAGGGAAAAATACGACTATTAGAGTGAATTATCTTTAAACACAAACACTAAAAAAAACAATCAAACCAAACCTTCTCTTTTTCTAACCACCTGTTTTCCCTAAGAATATTAAAAGCTTGACAAAAAATTAGTAAATTTTGTACAGTTAAAATGTGTCTGATAACAACAACAATATTTTTAAAAACTGACCCCAAACAAAACTTTCACGGCTGTAAAAAGGGGGTATTATCCTCATTTTTCAGGACATTGTCTTTCTGAAGCTCTCCAGCTTAAAAAACTCCTCACTTATCTCAGATTGCCGTCTTTAAAATCCATTTTTCAAGCCTCTGTCCGCACATAAACAGAGTTTTGAGTAAGTGAAAACAGAGGTTTTGGAAAATGCCTTCCAAGGTGGAGATTTTTAATGTCCTGTGGACGGCAAAACAGACTTTTGGGATACGCTGACGTACTTCAGCATTGCAATAAATGTTTATACGTATTGCACATGTGCGAAGATGGAAGGATACCAGTTTCTTGATTCAGTCTCTGTGCTGTTTAGAGAAGGAGGGGAGTGTTTTTAGGAGGTTATATGGATAAAAAATGATCCAAAAACACCTCTTATTTAAAAATATCCTTATACATGCAGACTCAACAACTCATTTCAACTACTTTCTCTTTAAAGCCCACCTTAGCGCTCTAGAAGCCTAGAAACACACCTTCCTCACCAAGACACACTGTATGAACATGTGATTTGGTCTTTTTTTAATGAAACTTTAGAAAAACAAAGACACTAAGACTTTTTTACATTTGCTCGATTAACTTAGCCCGTGTTTCGTGTGGACGTCCAACATTTTATCTTGATATTTGCTCATGAAATGTGAAATTAAACCGCCTCTAAAGTCATCCCATTTCACATCGGACTACAGTGTCCTCCTCACCCTGTTGGCAGACAGTGAACTGCAGTCATCACCCACTGCTCTGCGACCACAAACCCTCCACACTCGTGCTTCATGTTCTCTCCCTCTTGCACCTGGATGGAGGCCATGTAGGGCCGAGAGTGCGGGGCCGCCTCTCTGCCCCCGAGTATACCCTCGGCTGAAATGAGGAGAGGAAGAAAACTCTTAAAATACACACATTGCACAAAAATATGACAAAGTCAGTTTTGATCAATAAATGAACGAGTCAATTACTCACTGTGTGAAATGAGGGCAGAAACAAAAAGAGCAGCAACCACGAGAAGGTCCTTCTCCAGCATCATGATGTCGGTTTGACTAACCCGAGTTTAGAAACTGAGGCTTTTTAAAGGTCTCCAGTCCAAAGGAAGAGATCATAAATCAAGGAGATATGGCGCAAGACAGGAGTGGGAGTCTGACATCCTCCTGTTCCCTGTTTCCTGGTCGAAAACAGGAAAACAAACAAGCTCACTGAATACTTCGATACAGACTCATTCCACTAAAACTCTGTGTTTTCGATGAATTTCAGTGAAACTTTCGCCACATGATTTTTACGTCTCATTTTTCTTATTTCTCACTTCAGCTGCACTTGTGAGTTCTCTTGCCGTCTTTTTAGGTGAATATTTACAGGCGGCAGCTGTCTCCGACTCTCCTACTTTAGCCCAGATTTATGGCGCGCACACTTGAGCGCAGCACTTACAGGAAGAGAACATCGTCTCCTTCTTTTCTTCCAGTAAATCCAGCAGGAAAACACAAAAAACACGAGCCAATCTGGAACAAACAAGTAATCAGTAAACTGTTATACATATTAGACAAAAAATAATAAAAACACTCATGCAAGAGAGTTATGAAATTCACAGAGATCAACAACAAGTCCTCCTTCAGTCTTCGGACCTGGAGGAGCCTCTCTGTTTGAAGTCTGCATGATCTCTCAGTGCATGTGTTGATTCTTCAGCTGCCTCCATCTGTCCAGAGATGTGTTTGTTAGGTTAACTAAGGACTCATTAATGTGAATCTGTGCATTCATAGCCCAAAAACAGAGCAAGACCAAAGAGACTACAGAATATATAGATAGGGCTGGGCGATACGGGAAAAAGTTTATCACAGCATATTTTTTTCATATCAGTCGATATCAATATATATCACAATATAAAAAATGAAATTTAACAGTGCGTATTGGTAGCATGTCTTTTGCAATACATTAAGCTACTTCTTCTGTGAGGTCTTTATGTCTCTTCGATGTTGTGTTGCACACGTTGTGTGTACATGTACTCGACATAATTTGCAGTACACGTTACTCTGCTTCATGTCCGACCTTGGAAAATCAAAATACCTCCACACCGACGACGTTTTCATGCCAGTGTTGTCGCCAACAGAGCCGGCCCAAGGCATAAGCGAACTAAGCGCCTGCTTAGGGCCCCGCGGCCAGTAGGGGGCCCCCAAGAGCAATCAAAAAATATATATATATATTTTTTTACTTTTTGCATGTATGAGTGATGCTTTTTGTATGATCAAATATATATTATTGTAAAAATAAAATAAAGTAAAAACATTTTAGTGCTGCTGCAGATGTAGGCACGTGCCTCCCGCTGCGCAATGTGCACTGAGCATCTTAAATGTGTTACATTTTGAGATTAAAAACCATATGTGGCACCCTGAACATCATTCATCATTTATTTATTGGTATTTCTTGTATGGTTGCATTGGTATTATTTATGTTATTACCTAGGCCACCCCCTTAAATGTGTAAAGACATGTCAGGCGGATTAAATATGTACTGAAGTAGGTGTGTGAATGATCAACAATCAATATTATTGGCAGAAATAGAGGGCCCCAAAATCAAATTTTGCTTAGGGCCCCATTGAGGCTCTGGTCTTAGTCAGAGTGCTGACTATCGAAAAGCATATTGACCATGATTAATATTGATATTGAGGGAAATTAATTGTTGATATTTATCGTCATCGTTTTATCGCCTAGCCCTATATATAAATGAAAATGTTATGTTACGTTCTCCTTACCCCTCCAGGCTTCATCGTATCATAATCAGTGTTTGTTTTCCAGTGTAATTACAGCAATGACTCGACTCTTCATCAATCTCTGTGTCGGGCATTATAGGCTCCATACAGGCCGATGCACAGCCCTTCACATGCCTCTTTGTCAACACGCTGCACAGAACAGGCTTTACATGCAGTGTCTAAACGCTCTCCCCGCTAAAGACTTTAATTGTAGTGCCGAGAACGATTCCCACTATGTCATGAATTAAATATGACACCCTGACTTCCACCTGTCTTTACCTGCGGGTCTTTAACTTGGCACCAGTCGGACTGATCCTGTCCAGACTCTTGCACCGGACTCGCCACACGGATTTGTTTCAGCTTCCACAGCAGATCTGTTCAGTGTTTGTTTTACTCAAACTCCTGTCAGCCGGTGTTTGGACAGAATAATCTTGTTGGGAAATGAGTAAGAAATATCGCTCCCAGTCTGGGAACATTTTTCTGTTTGACTAATTATATTGAAGGTGGAGGAGCTGGAGTCATTTCAGCAGATTTAGCAGTGAAACTTGTGAAGTGGATGCCAACCACAATCTCCCTGTTACTTTATCACTGTGCAGCCTGGACCCGCTGTTATCAGGGCATTAGCTTTCTGCATCTCTCCCTCCGTTTTCGTGTTTTCTTCTGCATCTTTTTTTGTGGATAGGACAAATTTAGTGGGTTTCAAATGTCTAAAAGACTTTTGCAGGAGATTCAGCTGCTCTACCTTCTTGGTGTCTGGGTTAAATGACATCTGATAGCTGTTATACAAAGTGAAACTTGTCTGAGGTTTAAAATGGATTTGTGAAATATTGATTTTGACGGTTTGCAAATCCAATAATTAAGTGAAAACTGTGTATCTACGGTGTATTTGGCACCTGGACTCTTCTACTACAGAGCTGCAGTGCTGTAAAGTGTACTTAATGTTGTTTTTTCTGGACTCTGGATGGTAACACATGATCCTCCAAAACCTTCATGTTGTCTGTTAGGTAAATATTTTGACTGCCCAAGGACACTACAGCATGTGGAAAGCAGGGAATCAAACCCCCAACCCTTCGTTTAAAAGACAACTGACTCCACCACAGAGCCACATGCAGTATTACAAAGTAGTTTGACTGAGTACTTTTAAAGTAATCCTATGTCAGAATCAGTTACAAGAGAACGTTGAAATACTTCTACAGTGTTCCTTTTAGGCTATCCTACACTAAAGTCCATATTAGTGATATTTTATGTTTTTTCTCAGCTTAAATACTTATTTTAAACAAAAATATTCAATTTGTAGTCAATAAATCTTATATATTTCGGCTCAGGGTGTTACAGAGTACATGCAAAATTGTTTTTAGGCACTTTTACTGTGTGGTTTTTAGGCAATCCTATGTAGAAATCCATAACATCTGTATTTTTGAATGTTTTTTTCTTAACTTTGAAGTCCATTTTAATAAAAATTGGTCAATAATTAAATAAAATTAAGATCAGGGGATAACAGACTACATGCACAAGTATTATGAAGTACTATTGGTGTGTACTTTTCAAGTAATCCTTTGTAATTGTGTTTTAATTGGACATTTGATGACAATTTAAAACCATTTAGTTTGACAACTTATTAAATACTTTGTTTTAAATGGACTGAGAGGTGAACCTGAACATGATAAATACTATCTTTATACATCTAAATTTAATCTTATTACAAAATATGAACAAAAGCAGCAAATGACTCAGGTTGGAGGCCTTTAAATCTGGGCCTGCACCGCCCTCTACAGGAACAAAGTGGTACTACAAGAGGATATCCAAACGCAATCTCACTAAAGGTACCTGCTGTTGTTTCATGTCACATTTAACCTAAACATATAATATTGTCAGATCTCAACTTTAGTGCATCAATTAAACGAGATTTTAAATAAAATAATAATTAAAGTAGAGGTCGGTTTGAAATCATTACAGCAAATAAACTTTGTATGAAAACCCAAATCAACACGACAGCTGATCAGCTCAGGTTTGACCTCAGAGTGATCCTACAGTTTCAGAAATGATTACGCCTTAAAAACATGTTCCTGCCCCCGACCAATTAAGTCATGACTCACATACTCATAATAACAAGTTAGGAAGGACTTAATTATGAGAAATTAAAGGTTAAAACTGACAAAAACATCTGGATCCACCTGGATGACGAGAAGTTAATTCAGAAACAGAAATATTGCATGTATAGACTCCATGAATGTTTCATTAAAAGAGGAAGTAAAGTGCGTTAAATATCGTAGTTTTATCCATATAGTACTAAGTTGTGTATAAATGATTACACAACAGTGGTGCAGGAGTACGATCTGACAGTATGTTTTGATTATTAGCTCATAATTGCTCTGCCGCAGTCGATCAGACTTCTGAGCCGCGCTGTTGTTGCCATAGGGACGCGTTACAACTGTACTGGCCTCAAGCAACCAGGCCCACCCAGCCAGGTATGCAGGTGTGTGTGTGTATGTTAGTGTGTTACACGTGTACGTATGTGTGTGTCTGTGTGTGAGGACATCCATATCAGTTCTTGGTCTGTGTGTGGTCTGGCATTGAACCAGTTATCAGAGGTGAGTTAACAGAGTCATTTTCCACTTTATGTTTTCTAAATGTTTCATTTCTCTCTCTCTCTCTCTCTCTCTCTCTGCCCTCGCTCGCTCACTCGTTCCAACCTCAACTTTCATTCTCAGACGCTGAGTCAGCGGGCCTGTCAGTGTGTCTGGCAGGCCTTCTATCTATCCATCAATCAATTATTCTGGTTATCTTTCTTTTCATTATTCAGTCAGTTTGTCTTTATTACCCTCTCTACTTAGTTCATATCAGAAAAAAAAAGCAAATAAATCAGACAGATGTTAAAATAATTAAACTGCGATCATGGTTTTGGACATCGGCGATATCTACTGAGTCAAACCTGGACTGTTTCATTCAAAGGCAGCAGTTATATCCCTCACGCCACATACCTGCCAGGCTGTACCTACTTTTAAAGGCCTTTTGTTTCACCGTTTTGTCGTTTATCTCACATAGAAAGTCCCTAACCCAGCCTGGAATTGAACCCAGAACTCCCCGACTAGTTACTACACCACTGAGCTGCCTCTCAGGTTTCACTTTTTAAGGTTTCTCATCTTTCCTGATAGTTATGCTCTTTCCAAGCTTGATTAAATAAAAGAAGCTCTCTGATTGGTTGAATGACAGGGTTGTTATGATTGGTTGATTGGAAGGAGAGGTTTTATTGGTCGAGTCAGATTAGCAATCTGATTAACTAAAGTAAAAGGCTGTGAGAAAGGAGCCTTTGATTAGCTAGAAAAAAGTATTCTACTTGGCTGAATAAAAGAAGCTCTCTAATTGGCCCAATGGGAGCAGTATTCCGATTGGTGGAAAGAAAGGATTGTTGTGATTGGCCAATTGGAACGAGTGGTTTGATTGGCATTGTGAATTTATGCTGCATTCAAGTTACCTCGGAAGTCAGATGTTGGAGCTGAAAATGACGTCACACCCGAGTTCCCAGCGTTTCAGTTACAAAGTCGGAAAAAAGGAAAATGGGAGGCATAAAACAAGATGGCTACGTCTACGAAAGTTATTTTAGTGCTTGTCTTGTCCTTGCTATAGTTGGACTTGGGTGTGACGTCATTTTCAGCTCCGACCTCTGACACAACATTAGCAACCTGATAAATCAAAGGCTGTTTGAAAAAAGAGCCGTCTATTGGCCAGAATAAAAAGCACCTTGCCGATTGGACGGATAATAGCAACATTCTAACTGGCTGAATGACAACAATGTTCAAAAATG